AACCACTTCCACCTGAAAAGGTTCCTTTGCTGCTATGATACCAACATGACAATAACGGAATGCCTGAATAAAAGTAGAACATCAGGACCATTAAGTGGCATAATAAGCAGTGGTTTCCTCATATTAAACAAATCTCCTCAAAATTAGCAAAAAAAGGACTAGTTTGAAACATGGCAAAACTTGAGAATGCAACTATAACAATAGTGTACTGTTTCATCGACACAAGTACACAACACCCTAAAAAGGCTTCAATTCCTACATGTACCACAATACCAACTGGGATGTAAAAAAGGACCAGGAAGATCACACTGGCTGCAAATATTGACAAAATGAACTGGATTGCATTATTGCCTAGTGAAGTAGTTTTAGCTGAAACCTTGAAAGGAGACATGAAAAATCCCAAACTGCTGTGCTGAAACAGTAGTATAGGTCACATAGAACTGGATTGGTGATTGGCCTACATGTGTCGTTGGTTGCGTGGGGGTTAAAATTGATGAGGGTGCAGCACTCCACTTCTATTGTCAGGGTATAGGGGGTACTCCGATGTCGGGGCTACATATGTATATGCCACCCAATAGGATATGGTTTTTGAGGGTTGTGATCCTTAAACAGGGTATAACTTTTGCTCATTTTGGCATTGTTCCCTGTGTGTTCCTTTGTCGATAAGGTATCTAAGTTGAATCAGATAAAATTAAAGAATGCAAATGCTTGGTTACATGAGAAACAAATCATCTGATAAAACTGAGCTGTTCCCTAGAGTATAAGGACAAAATTTAAGGAAAAGTTAGTGGTGCAATAATAATTTTTTTGTATCCCTCCCTCCCCCGCTTGAATAGGGTGTCATTTTTTGGGTTTAGGCCTAAAAAAGGGTATCAATTTTCACTTGTCTCATCTTTAAACAGGATCAGAATTTAAGACCCTGGGGTACACTCATGTACCTGAAATTTATGAGAGTACCCCCCCTCCCCTCATTCAGGGCCCAGTTGTTCAAATGGTGGATAGCACTATCCAGTGGATAAATCTTCATTCAGTGGGTAGTGCAATGCCTTCCCCAATACTTATCTGCTCAATAGTGGTTTATCCGATGGATATAAGCACTATCCAGCTTTTGAATAACTGGGTCCTGATCTTAATACTAAGAACAAGGCTGTGCTTTAAGAAAAATTGAAGGGAGGTCAGTGCTCTGAGCCTTTAAAATCCACGGTGACCAGCATTTCATTTTTGTGAAAAAAGATTCTCTGGTTGTCCAGGAGCAAAAGTTAGATGCCAGGGACTACTGAGCACAGCTAGAGCAAAACCCTGAAAGGATACACTGTATCATGGATGCAATCTTATCTCTAGTTTAATTCTAATAATTATAGTGGCTGTTTTGACAGGTAGCATGAGATTTTCGTTTGCCTAAGGCTTGTAATATCATTTATTTAAATAAAATGAAAACTGTACTCAAGGACAATGTGTTTTGTGCTGAACTGCAAAATTCTCTCTTTTTTTCCAGCCCAAGCAGAGGCTTTCTTATAAGGTCATTCACTCTCATAATTCAAAAAAAAATTGTATCACTCTTGTAACCCAGGCAGTGTGTATTAGGTAATCTGAATCTATCTTGAACAAACCATACATACTGTCCTCTATGGCTGGTGTAATTATGATGAAATTGAATTTCAACCCTGCTCACCACAGAGCCTCCAGTAGCCCAGTGGCTAGAGCATTCAATCTTTAACTTAGAGGGTTGTTTCATTGAATCTCACCTGGAGCTCAGAATTTATTTTTCTTTGCTTATTCTGTTGTTTCATTTCTCTTTCTACCAAATTATCCAGCTGGTAGTTAATTTTTAATAAGTGCCTTACAGAGGATACAGGTTTCCTTATCTTAAAGAGAACTAGCAACAGACGGTACAATAAAAACAAGATGAAGAAAAAATAATGTTAAGGATTGTGCTTGACACAAATTATATGTAAACAAAGAATTAATCTTCAACGAAAATTATTAAGTACTTGAGATAAGCCCCCTGCGCACTAGTTCTAGTACAGAGAATCAGAATATCTATGCTTGGGAAATGAACCCACAACTTCTCAATTAGATTTACTATTGCAGGAATTAGCTTCAAGGGGAGAAAGGAGAGCTCATAACTGCCCATACAGAGGTACATCCCTTATATCACTTGTGTCATCATCAGTTCTAACAGTCAACAACAAACCATACCAAGATGAGCATGATTCAGTCTAGGAGGCCAAAGAAAAAAAGCCAAAAAGCCATGTAAAGTTGACCCGAAAATTCTGGTGAAAATCTTGTTCCATTACCAACCCCCACTTCCATCTAATCCTACGACCCAAAAGCTTTCCCAAAAACCTTTCCACTGGAGAATTAAGCTTAATAAATTCTCAGCAAAAAAAAAAAAAAAAAAAAATAAAAAAATAATAATAATAAAATACAAAATAAATAATAAATAATAAATAACTGCTGACTGCTTCTTTGAGCTAAAGAAGCTGATATTTTTCATCTAGAGCAGAAGGCCGAGAAGTGTGTAACTTACAAACAGCTTTTTGGTAAGTTTTAGTTCTTAATACACATGCACACAGTGACTAGAAATACCTTTACTAGTTTTAAAAGTGTTTTTCCACAAAATTTCCAGGGGCTATTAAAAGGGTTACGTAAGGTACCAAGACAGTTTTCAGAGAAAATTAACTTTTGAGCATAAAATGTAACCACATCTGGCCATGAAATGACAAATGGAGTTATAATGCACCTATCAATGTAAATCCCGTGGGGGGGAGGAGTGCGGGCAGGAGGTGGGGATTTTATGCCTGAGACTATCCCCCTGTTGGGCTTTTGATCATGGGAAGAGACCTGGGGTCGGAACATTTGACTTTGACCGACAGAAGCCTGGTATCAATTCAGAAGAGGTTACCAAGTCCGTGCCTCGAGGCTTTCTGAAAGTTATGCTGTTGGAGAAAGGTATGAAGTTTCCGTTTGTTTTAATCACCTTAATCCGATACTGTAAACTGTCATCTAAACAGATAATGTTTATTTTGAGAAAGGTTTTATCTTCAAGTTCCCATCTGATTGTAAAACTTGATTGAAAGCGAATTCCACCATGAAAGTCAGAGGATTTTTTACGGGTCACTGATCCGACCAGTTCCGACATGTTGAGCAGATGTTATAAAGCATTTTACGTTTCATTAATATTATAGTAGCACAGTCAATCTTCCTGGAGTGATTTTGTTGTTCAAAATAGGAGATGATAGTGGAGAGAGAAAATACTTAATTACAGCGAGTAATTTAACGGAGCTTACATTAACCATAAATAAAAGTAGTATTAAAGAACTTACTTTTGAAATATTCTTTTAATTTGTTTTATATGGTGTTATAGTATTGTTTGTTTAGATTTTTTCCCCTGGGGTGGGGCTTTTTTGACACTTTTGATCGACCTTTCGTTTCCCACCCTGGGAAATTTGATCCAAAAATTTCAAAATTTGTCAAATCCCCACCACTTGCCCACACTCCCCCCCACGGGGTTTACATTGATAGGTGCATATAAGTTCAGCAAAAAAAGTACTTTAGCTTTTTTGATTAACATGGTAAACCACGCAGTTCAGAGAGAGAAAAGAAAGTATTTAATAACATTGGGTCACACAGCACTATAACGCAACCATGGCACAGAAAAACAATTCTGAAATGAAACAGGGCTAATTGCTCATTTTTCTTTTGCTCTTGGCAGGGCTTCTGATAGGTTGCGGGAAAAAACGTCAAATTTTGCGGGATTTTCAGGGACAGATTTGCTGAAAAAGCAGCCGATTCTGTGGGTGTTTCGCGGAAATTTTTGGGGCTAACTTCGCCAAAAAAACATGTGATAAAAAAAGGCTGATTTTGTGGGAATTTTCTGGGCAAATTTTGCTAGAAATCGATCGAATTTCGCAGCATTTTGTATGTTTTTGTGAATTTCACTGGATTTTGCAGATTTACGAGTGAAATATCAGAAGCCAGGTCCTGGACCACCAGAAAATCTTAGTTTTTAAATAGAAATCCTATGCTGGGCACCGTGGAATCACTGACTCAGAGCACTAGACTCCCTTTAATTTTCCTTAGAGCACAGCCTTGTGAAAATGGAAGTGTTAGTGTCATCTTGTAAAAAATAATTGCCAAATCCAGTATCCCATTCATTCACAATAATTACAATCTAGAATATGACTCCCTTTCTCTGTTAAAATGCTGAATGCCCCCTCTCCCTCATGGAATGTAAATTAAGGGAGGGGGCTGTACTAGTTTCATGTACATTTGTTCCTTTGATTGGCTTGAACTCATTGAACCTGTGTACAAATGCTCCCTCCCCTCGAAAAAAAAAAAAAAATTCCAAGTAATGCATGTCTCCCTCCCCGTTTTTTTTTTTCGGGAAGGGGGCATCTGCACACAGGGTAGAACTCATCTGCTTATGAATGTATTTTAAACTATAAACAGAGTCTAGATGTATGCATTATAAAACTGGGAGGGCGTGCGGAAACCTTACCAAAGTGGGCACCACCCACCCCTGCTGATTTACCCCTCCCCTACCCTTTGAGGAAGCCTATGACTGGCTGAAGCCGGCCCTGCTAACTACGTACCTAGAATTAAACAACTTCGGGGAGACATAAAAAGAAGAACGAACGTATCTGAGTATTGCAGCCGTACTGATAAATCCACTGCATCACCCGGCCGCCAGGCCGTTAAAAATTATGTAACATCTGACACCATTTTGTTCCGGACTGACAAACGTCCTATTTTATAAAGAATATATTTTTTTTACCTGCTGCACTTGAGAACTGAATCGTAGATTGACCAGTAGCTGCCTTGAATTTCTAAGAAGCAAAGCCATTGCGTTAGAAAAATTTGAGAACGGCGCGAAGACGATCGACTCTGCAAAACTCTGGCTGCGAGGAGCTGATCGTGCGCCTTAAAAATTAATGGTCAGCGAATTTTCATAAATTCAAAGCGTCCTGCATGTACACTTCGTATAGTTTCGCAACTCAGCAGGCTTTATTCCAATATGGCAGATTAGCAGCAGACTGTGAGCAACCGATGTATAACCCCGACTTAAAACACTTATAAGAAGAACTCACTTTTGCAATGGAGTTGAGCAGCATAGCCACTGAGGGGGTCAGCCTCTGCGGTGATTCGACTCGAGTGGGAGATCGCGCTTTTCGAAATCTGATTCAAGTTACTATGGACATTTTGCTGATGAAAAAGAACGAAGAATCTCTTAAAAGTCAGTAGCCTTATTATTTGTTATTTTTCAACGTCGATACAACATTTTAAGTTAGTAGCTGATCACGGTTAGGTTAACATTCTTTATTGCTTCTTTAAAATACACCCAGTTTTAAATCTACAATACACGTTCAATTTTCGTTGAAACGCGTTGTTATGTATATAATAAGACTGAAACTGAGGATTATTCAAGTCACGCTTTCTCAACCAACTAGTCTAAATTTTTCCGTGTGTTATTTTTTTCTTTTTCCCCAATGTTGAGAATGTGCGATTGGCTAGGTAATACGTGAATCAACACTGGGGAGGGAGACTAAGATGACAAGGGTTTCAATAAATGTGACGAGCTGAGTACATGTACTTTAGGTGGGAAAGTGTTGTCCATCCTTTTACTTGCGCTGCCTTACAGTATGTATCCCTTACAGTATGTATCAGTCAAATTCAGTTGCACCCATGCCCCTCCCCCCAGGCTAACCCCCAGGTATTGTTTTGTTCTTCTCGGATGGGAAATCCCGGGGGAAGGGACACTTAAACAGTCAAATAAATGTACAATGTACCCTGCGGTGATGACAAAAAGTGGAGGGTGAATGCTCCAACCCCTGTATCACCCCCAATCAATACAGTGTACTGTAGCAGCTCTCATCCATCGCACAGTGAAGTAGGGTTACTTCCAGCATTTCTTATGTGCAGTAACCAAAAAATATGTGCTAGACTCACATTGCCTACTCTTGATCTCACTATTAAAAAATAAAAATTAGTCCTTGCCTAAAAGCCAAGCTGCTTATCTTTTGTAGTTCAAGTCAGAAACCATGTGCCTGTGAAAAGCCTAGGGGTGCGTGGACCCAGGGTTGGCAAATGCCCAACCCCTGGGCTGGGCTGTCAGTCCCCCATGTCTTCAAATATTAAGAATTGATAGGGAAGGGATGATAGATGACATCATAATGAATGGTACATGATGTCATTTGTGCAAAAAATACCTGTTGACTCCAATCGTCACAAATTTGCGATGACACTGACAAAACGCACGAAAAAGTTATAATTTTATTTGAATAATATTTGAGCTGATTGGTCTATTATTATTACAATGGCATGCCAAAGTTTATCAAGAAATGCTCAATGTTAACATTAAAATAGCTCAAATAATGCAAAATATTTGAAATTTAGCCTGTGAACAGGCTCTCGGTTCACACGGTATTTGAAATTTTATTGTTTGAAAGTCGAGTCTACTGAAGAAATAGAAAACTTCGGCGATTATCCGGGAGATTTCAAACTCTAATCTGGAGACCAGGAGAAACGGTCCAAAATCTGGAGTCTCCTGGATCATCCTGGAGAGTTGACAGCACTGCCTGGGCTACACTATACTTCGGAACTGGCAAAATTAATGCCCTGTAGTTGCCTTGGGGGATGGGTGAGTGCAGCTGCCAGGAATTGACTGATGCAAGTCATTATTGACTTCCAGAAACTAACGGATTATTCCCTTTTCCTCTGCATCCCAACTTGCTCCCATGGACAGAGCTGCAAAGATACACCAATGTTATTTTGAGATTACAAATCAATATAATGAAACATGCTTCAACATCACATGGACAAATTTTGTAAGGTCACAGTCTTTAATATTCCTTAAATGTATTTTAGCCTTTGTAATAATGGTCTACAAATTATGACACTTGTCAACAGTAAAACAGGCTTGTGTACATGTACAGTGTATCAGCTAGAAAAACAATGTAATAGTCCAGTTGCGAATTAAAAATTACTGCTGAACATAATCATTAACGACACATTCATACAGGGTTAGCCTCGACATAAGGTAAAATATTCAGAAATTCTGGTAAGTAGGTGTTTGAAATTTGAATATACACTATAGGCAGAGTAATAAACAGGTCTTTTTCTTGTTGGAATTTGTGAATAGATTACTTCAGATTGAGGCTAAGGCTGTAAAAAACATGCGTCTTCACTTCTTTAATTTAGCGGTCATAGTGAACTGGAAAATGGACTATTGCATGACATAGCTTTGCAGAAACAGGCGTAGTAGTTAAGAGGTCACCACTTTGAATGGTAAAACAGGAGAAAATAGCAGGAAAGTAAATCAAAGTGGCACCTCCTGTGGATTCATAAAAGTCATTTTCATTTTGGTTTCATATTTTCCTTCTCATATGCAGTAGAAGGGTTGCATGTAGATTGGAGAAAATTAATGTGTTGCTCTTTTTGAATGTATCATGGCCCCATAGTGTTTGGTGATCTGTATCGTATTGTCTGAAAATTTAAAGTATCATTGCAGCTCTCTTCAGTGGTTTCACATTGGTAGTCATTTTAATTGGTTGAGGTGTGATCATGAATGACTGTGTTTGTATTAATTAGAAAACTTGTATTGATAGTTGAGCAGTTGTGATGTTTTAACCTGTAAATACTTGTACTTGCTTTAGGTGATGAGGATGTTGCCAGTGTTGATGCTGCAGCATTGAAGCAGGCCTATGCTGGTTTAGTTACCCTGATATTAGAGGCCGTGAAGATGGATTGTGATTCACCCAGTATAAGGTAGCTACACCAGCTGTATATTGCTTTGTGCAGTCAGACATCAGAGAGATATTTTACAACAGTCTTAACATTAATTGGCTAGCCTGCATTGATTGTGATTCACCCAGCATAAGGTAGCTACACCATATATTACTTTGAGCAGTAAAGCATCAGCGGTGTATGACATTTGCAGAGTGCAGACTGCAGACTGCAGACTGCATGAGGCAGCAAGACTGTAAATTGAATGAAACCAAACATATCGTAATAAAGGTGGCATCATCATCAACGTTACCTTGTTCCGAGAAGTACTTGTAAGGCCTAGAAGTGAAGTTTATATTTTTCACGCAAATAACACAGACCTGATTCCTGAAGGAGTTGTTGGTTGTTCTTCTCGTATTGAATTAGAGCAGAATAATGTCTGTGGATGTCACAAACTCGCTAATGAATCCATAGCAATAGGCTAGCAATTCAGCCTGCACCACAGACGAAACCAAACTCTGGTTATATATTAAGTCTGTCTGTGAAACAACGCCGGAATCCTTATTCTACGGGGGCCCCACCTGTGTACTAGGATTTGAGTATGAGCAATGATTGGCCTGTTAAAAAATCCATTGTCGATTTGCCTATTTAGAAATTCAAAATGCACTTCCGGTAATTCGTCGAGTCCAGGTAGGATCTGTTCGGTTTAGATTATTTGGCATATCCTTAAGTACTGCTAAGATGAAATACGTCATTTAAAAGGTGTTAAATGTCCATGATCTATGCTAGTTGTTTTTGTCGACGTACCTGTAGTGAGCACAAAGTGCTCGCAATCTAAACACTTTTTTTTACAGAAGCCTACTATTTAGACAGGCATTAGTGGGCATTGCTACTTGTCATTATCAATTCGCAATAATCAAAGAAGAATAAAGAATCAACGCAATTAATGATATGCCGGGTGAGTCAATAAAGAGTCGCGTCGGTGAAGAATAGCCAACAGCATCTCAAAAATATCAACCTTGTTCCCAGGCTACTTTCTCACTTTCACACGATGTTATATTTTTGATGGTGTGACCTTTATTATTAATTTACAATCTGCAATCTGTGGTCTGCAGTCTGCAGTCTGCAGTCTGCGGTCTGCGGTCTGCAGTCTGCAAATGTCATACACCGCGTCTAGAAAGCAGTTAATCTCATACCCTAATTCTAATGGCTTTGTTTAAAAGCACAATCTGTTGTTACATGTAAATATTTCATGTGTTCATTCTTTGTTTCAGTTCTCTACTTGAAGACTGCAAGTGGGGAAGTGATAGAATAGACTATTTTTCAAAGCACTTTCTGGTATGAACTAAACATGTTCTGTTTGTTTTTCTTAGTTTTTAACTTTTCAATGGCATAATTTGCCCCTCCATTTGTCTTATTATTATTATTTGTTTTATTATTGTTATTTATTTTCAGAAGTAATAATGTTAGACTGCCAACAAACTTTTCCCTGGTTATGCAAAGCAATGCCATAAATTGAATTTATGAAAGATCTACATGTGGTCTAGATTACCAACAGAGAAAAAATAATGGATCAAGAGAGGAAACCATCACCAGTAATATCAATATACAGTCGAATCTTGATATAACTATACAGTGTACAATGAAGCCCTTGGTAGAGCAAATGATTTTCTTCACCCCTTCAGTAGACTTAATAGTAAACTGTATGAAAATAACCTTGATAAAAAAAAAAATTACAATGGACAAATTTGCCAGTCCTTTCTTTACTATGTATATTATCAAGGTTTCACTGTAGTGTTATTGGGATGAGAGATCTGACTTTCCAGTTGTTTTATACAATATTCTCTACAAAGAATGATGTTGATACTCCTAGTAGAGATTAAGACAAAGTCTTCCAATATTTTATAAACTTAGATCACTCTGAGTTGTGAAAATCTTTATTGTTCCTCTGGGACAAGGCAGATAAACAACATTTTAGTTGGAGGGGATGAGGGCTGGAGACGAAGGAGGGGGAATTTGGAGATAATAAATGTACATTGTTATGATTTCAAATTCAAAATTAGAAAAATGTATTCACTTTTTTTATAGGAATGTAAGCCAGAGTTGGAGGCCCTTCTTGCAAGGTAACCTTGTTATCCTGAGTCGATCCCAGTGCAGTGTTTTAGAGAAAGAAACAATACACATTTCTATAGACTATGTACTTTATAATTTTAATTCAAATGAAACTGCTTTTTTGTTGTTCTGGTACAAACAAGTTACACTGTTAATTGCTTGCAATGGCATATTTTAAAATTTCTGTTGTGCTGCAAGAATTGTGCGTATACACTGATCTTATACACTGTACATGTAAATCCTTCTCATGCTGTATGGTACAACAATAACCGACCTGTAGCCAGAGATTTTGAAGTGGGGATGCTTGTTTTACTCTGTGAAACAGGGTTGTGTACTCGTTATAATCAAAATCAGCCACCCCCCACCCCCTCCCCTTAGAAAAGAGGGAAAGGTTGAGATGAACAGATTTTGTGGCTTTGTTTCTGATGCCCTTTTAAAAAAGGAACAACCAAGTAGTAAGAGTAGTACACAAACCTCGTGTTAATATTTTGCAAACTTTTCCCAATTTGAATTTTTGACAAGGATTAATATAATCCTCTCAAAGCTGTCATGTATTTTAGTTTCCGTAGTTAAAACAAGCTGTTATGTCAATCAAAAGGGGCAGGAATTTGTCATCTAACCACGGTCTCGTCAACTTAACTTACTGTAGTAATTTGGGGGATACCTGCAGACTTATAAATTGTTATATAGTGGAACCTCGACATGGCAAACCTCTGTATAACGAATCCGTGATATAGAAGGGACTGTAAGTAGTGACAACAGCAACGGCATCGGCGACCTGAGAGCCCTCAGGGTAAACCCAAACCAATGCGCATGTCTGGCGTGAAAAACATCTGCCGTTGCTGTTGCTTCAGAACGTGAGAATTGGTGTTTTGCTGTTGAGACAACACGTGATTACTAAACCTCAGTTTTCCTAAAAATTTGGCATAAAGTAGCTTCTGGGAAAACTAAAAGTACTCTGAATACTTTTTTGGCCTGAAAATATTTAACAATTATTCCTCGAACCCGAATGGGCTCTGAGTCAATAGCCCATGAGGCCAAGGGCCGAATGGGTTATTGACTCAAAGTCCATGAGGGCGAGAGGAATAATTGTTTTAGTAAAATTCAACTAGTTGGTCAAAAATATCGAGAATAAAAAAGTTTTAGCTAGTTAAAGCTAGACTTTTAATCCCAAAAAACCCTCGCTTTTCGCTACTAGTGGGCTATAATATAACATATAGCCTAGTAGTAGCTCAACCAATCAGAACACAGCATTGATAAAAGACCACTAGTTGGATTTTACTAAAGAGGTTTACACTAGTCATATTTAGCTGCGTGAGAGAAAAACACCTAAGATGCGTGAATGAAGACTGAAGCGAGGCCACTTTGTCCGAAAACGTGAATATTGAAGCTGCCCTGAGAGCTCTTCCTCGGTCAAAAATCATCTTTCGATCTATGGTCTCCTCTGAAGTTTTATGAAGTAAGCATTTATCACTTCATTTAGTTATTTATTTATTTGTTTATCTTACATTACAGCTTATTTTCAATACTACTCCCTTTTGCTTCGTTTATTCCGCTATCTCGATGATCTTTTATATGTTCTAAACCAACAACGGCATTCAGTTTCATTTTAGATTTTTTCATTTTCATTTTTTTATTTCATTATCAGGAGTAGATATTTTCGTATGTTAAATCTGGATTCAGACTTGAGTTTGTTTATCCAAAAAAAGTTCTTCGCTGAGTGCCCATTGCTCGCTTGAAATGACTTACAGACAAAACTTGTTATAATGTTTTGCCGTGTTTATTATATCAGACAAGACCTTGTCCTCTATCATCTGCTAGCCTGCCTAGCAGGCGCCGGTTTGTGTTTTTTTGGGGGAAGGAAGAAATCTTGAGGACGCGCGAGGGGAGAAAAGGAGAGGAGGCGCCTTCCTCTTCGCGTGTTCCCTCGCGCGGCCTTTAAAAAAGGAACCGGCGCCTACTACGCAGGCTAATCATCTGCTCGAAATGGTGATTCCTGGCCGCCTTCTAAAGAAGAAACGAAGATGAAAAAAAGAGCTCTTCTCACAAGAAGTATTGAATTTGCTTTTTTCGCGCTGCTTATTAACTGCTCATAATTCGCGATGTCTGTGAGACCAAACCGCGTTATCTTCCCAGTCTCTTTCACGGTGTCGCCGTCGCCGTTTCCGTTGCTGTTGCCGTTGTCTGTGTTTAAAGTCCCTAAGGAACAATCTGCCCCAGTTATAGGAAAATGTATGGAAAAGAACCTCAATATAACGAAACCTCCTTTTAGCGAACGCTTTGGCCAGTTCCTATGCCCTTCGTTAAATCGAGGTTCCACTGTATAATGTACGTTCTTGCCTTTATGGATAGGAGGGAAAATACTTGATGTGTTACGTTACTTCCACTTATCCAAATCTTTGAGGGGTAAGAGAATCTCTAGGAGTGTAATGGGTCATTGGCATTGTTAACTCCTTCATCTTTTCTCATGGGTTATGACTTTGCTGAAAGAGGGCGCTTTGTTTGTCCAATTCGTACCCATCCTTGGAGGGCAGGTGTATACCCAACCCTTTTGAGCAAGCTTCTACCCGATAACGCTGAAAAAACAAAAACCAAACCAAACAAGAAAGTTAAATTAGTAGCACTAGAGAATTGTTATCCTAGGAAAATATACTGAGTGAATACTCAAATTAAATGCGTTTAACTGTAGGACTGGAAGTTCATTTCCTCATATTGTTGATGTGGACTGGAGATTGGATTACTATATAAAGGTACATGTCATTTGTTCTTCAAAACCGAAATTTATGTTTAATTGCTGTTAAATAAGGTTCTTTCTCCCTTTTCTTTCGTCTCTTAAATGCATTTTAACTGAAATAACGTGAGTTAAATACAGTTTAAAGAAGTGCTAGCAGTCCATGGTCCATTGGTATGTGCGTACCCAATAGTTTGCTACTATCTCATTAATTTTGATGTAGTGGCGTAGGAAGTTTTCTTTGTGCAGGGTATTTCCTGGACCTGCCACGAAATTTCCTTCAGCCAGGTTCTCCCCACCTCCCCTCGCCTTTGTTCTTTCTCCAGCAATATTTTCAGTTCAATGGATGCCTGTTTTGTGCTGTGGAGGCTCATGGCAGGGTTCCACTATTATGTCAGCTATGGAGTTGCTATTCAATCTACGGACTGGCTAGTGCCAAAAGTAGAAGTCCATTTATCGATGCAGTTGTTAACCCTTCGTAATATTAATGAATAAGAATTATGGACTTAATTCTTGTCCCCAAACCCTTTGCATTCCTCAACACCTATAATTTATAATACTGTACGATGAAGTGATTAGTAATTACATGTATTAATGTATGTTTGTTTTGCACATAGAATAACCAGATGGACAAAGTGAATAAACCTACCTATCTTATCACACTTAAGACTGAGGTACGACTTCACTATTCGCTGACTATTCTCAAGCTCTCAAGCAAGCTCTCGGGGGCGCTCTGACGGCAGGGTGGGAGAAGGAAGGAGAGCTTGCAACTACGTCTCTGGAATTTCAATTCCGCCTCTAATTCCCTTGTGGCTCCCGTCGACTGAGCTGTGAGATTTGCTCAGACCACGCACTAGCCAGGGGCACCCAACGAGAATATAGTTCAAAACTACTTAAACAAAGCATTGTTAAACGTATAGATATAGGCATATTTTTATCCCCTAAAAATTTTTCATCTGTTCGGATTTCCTAGCTGAAAGTCTAGTGATTCGAAAATTGTAGGGATCAAAACTTACCTTTTCGAAAATTTAAGCAAGAAATTTTACAACAAATGTTCCGAAAGTTCTAGATCTCAAATCTTTTTCCGAACAGATATTTTCCGAAAATTGACGTTTGGTCCCCCTGACTAGCTATAGTTGTACACTGCACACGGCTTCTTTCGGGAGCTCCTAACTAACCTGAGATCAGGCGTTATTATTTTTTTTGCTTCTTTGGCCCGAGAGGGAAAAAAATAACGCCCTCTTCCCAAAAGCAGTTTACAGAGATAAAGGGAGAGGGCATGATCGCAGGCGCTCCTAACCCAAGAACATATTCCAAGTATTGGACTCCCTCTCGGCAGTCTTTTAAAAGAGGGGCAAATAGTGTTTAGTTCATAAAGTTCTGTATGTAAATGTGACTTTTATCATTTCATCTTGTGGGGTGAGGGTGGGTTACGTATTCCCCTGTTCTGAATGACAAACCCGTCGTTTCACGTATTATGAGGAGGAAACCATGTCCCTGTTGGCGTTTTACCTATTGTATTACACTTTCGCTTGTTTTCTTCGTCACTTTCACGGTTTTAACCTGTCTTTGAATCGTGTGTAGCCATTTCATCTGTCTTGTGCCGCAGTTTCAAGGCCATGTCGCTTGTCGGAATTTCACCTTAACGAGGCATCCTATTTATTTAAAGTAAACGAGGTTTCAAAAACCAGGATAGAAAAAATATTAGCAATACACAAGCTTTCGATTCCATCACGGAATCCTTATCAGGTGATGGAGTTGGACGTTTGTGAACGTGATTTCCTTGACAAAACGTCCCGGTAGATCTCAGGGAGCTTGTAATCTAGGCATCCTTACTTTGTATCATTATTATTTTTTAAACATCTTTTGCCGAGTTTAAACAAGTTTTGATTGATTGAACTTCTTTTAATCTTGTCCTGTTATGATTCAATATAACGCCCTTATCAGTTATCTTCTTTGGCGAGGCACCGTACATTGTACTTACAGCGCTAATAACGTAAAATTCGGCTTATATGTGCTTGAATATTGGGCAGTGGTCCAATTTTCTTGGTTCTAAAAACTTTAAAAGACCTGAAACCATTGAGATACATACATTTTGACAAGTTGTTATTCCAGCTTTTAAAGTGACTTTTTCGTTGTTTAGGAAGCAGGGAAATCTCAAGGAAAGGACGTGCAATTTTCCTGTTCAATGGAGCAGCTCCAGGTATTCTTGAGTTAAATAAGTTTATGTAAGGCTAGGTTGTTCAAGTCAGACTATAAAGTTCACGTAAAGTCCTTGTCAAATTAGGATTAGCCAAATCTGAAAATCCAATCGGAGGAAGGTTTTCGTTTACCATAAAGATGGTCAATCCCTGACCGAAGTAGAAGAGTTTTTCAGAGTCGATAAAAGCTGAAGCGTCTAATAATTTCGCGGCTGAACGGCAACAAAAAATTGGCCTTTTATTTCTCTGACCGTTTAAACTGGAAATGAAAATGAAATAGAATTTTAGCTCAACATACATGAGGGTCATTTTCGCATTCAGCTAATAGCAAAACATCAAATTAAATTTGCTGAAATCAACAACAGCTAATAAGTGATGCTCATGTTTTTTTCCCTTCAGGATCTTGTTGGCAAACTTAAGGATGCCTGCAAAAGTATAGAGAGAGCGTCTGCTAATTAACTGGCTGCTTCACGGAAAAACTGGAATAAAGATTCCAAAGTATATTTTTTTAATGTAGTTTATTAGAACTTTACGTTTGTCTATCGTAGATTTCGGCCAAGTATTTCATGTAGGTATTGCCCAAATGGCTTTTATAATCAACTAGATCCATTCCTCCTGATTCAACGGCGTATTTAGAGTGCTTAAAAAATCTCCAAAACGTCCATTCTCTGCTTACAATTTGTAGCCGTTATTATCGTACGAAAGTTGAACAGCTTGAACGTTTGACACTCATTCCTTTCTAATGGCATTTAATATTGAATAATAATGACTCACGTTGTTGAAAATTTTGCTTAGGAATGCAGTCTACTTTAAATATTTTTTTTTAAATTTTTTTCAATGTAAAGAATAAATTGATGAATCTTAAAAGTTATGCGTGCACATCATCCTCTTTTCTTCTTCATGACAATCCATTTTTCTTTCTCAATGATCACTATGGCTGTGATATGTGAAGTTACCCTGAATCAGTCTTTTTCTCTGCACTTTTGAATGTAGCTAATATGATTCTAATTCTTTTTTTGGGAGCGGGGCGGGATGGGGAGGAGGCAAAGCCAAAATGAACAGCCAATGAATGCGGGATTGAGAACTGACAACAGCAATAGCTGTATTGAAGGGTCCAAACCGTACATGTAGTTTATTGCTTCCGTTTTACTGGGTTGGCGTAATACTTTAGTGCTGCAAAATAAATGCATAATTATGGAAAGGCCGTGGGAAAATAATGAATAGTATGGCTGATCTATAACATCCGTCGCCGAAGTGATAGCGTCATATACTCAGGGTCTACAGAAATATAAAGCAAACTTTAATTCTTGAGCATTGTCTGTTTTCCTTGTCAATTCCCAAAAGCTACTAATCAGTTTCCGTTGAAACTTGTCGCCAAAAACGGAATCACTGGTGATAACATTTTACAAGTAGGCAGCCAGAAAACCTTTTTGTTTTGTTTTGTTTTTCTGCTCGTTGAGCAACTACTGACCCCAGTTGTTCAAAAGCTGGATTGTGCCATCTATCGGATGAATTACCATCTAGCAGGGCCCAGTTGTTCGAAGGTAGGTTAGCACTTAACCATGCAGGGTTAAATGAAACCCGGGTTTCTTTTTCTTCTGTTCAAAAGCTTTTTTTCGGATAATTTTCCCTGTTATTTTTAAGAGCATTCAATCATCAACTTGTTGACAAAAAGAATTAAACTGAATTTACTTTTTACGCTTTCATATCTGAATTCAAATTTCGCACTAACCCAGGGTTATCTTAACCCAGCTTTGAACAACCTTGCCCTGATAAGTATTAGGCCTAGCTATATAGGAATCCAATTTCACTATCCACTGATAGAGATTTATCCGGTGAATAGCGCTATCCACCTTTTGAAAAACTGGTGCCTCTGACCAATGAGCCAGGGAACTCTGGCTTCCCTAGCAAATGAATCAGAGTAACATATTCGGAAGATGCGAGCAATATAACATCGATTCAGTGGTACATTTGCTTGGAAACGAGGTTGATCGCGCGATGCCGGGAAACGAGGCTGCTTGAGCAACAGTGGACAAGAGTTAATGTGACTGTTACGAGTGTTGTGAGCCCGGCGAGTGTTGTAACACTAACAAGAGTTGTTACGCTGATGAGTGTTGTAAAAAACCGGAATTGGTGTACACGGCAAACCCAAGACGACATAGCTGAATTTCTGACAAAAACTGAACGGACCAATTCAAGAATAACGAAAAATCACTTTAAGTCTACGAGGAGGTAAGCTTGTTAAGAACTTAGAAATATTTCGAGTGAATAATGAAATAATTATCGAATTCGGCTTTCGTATAACGTGAAGACCGGAATTATGCTTCAGATCTCGGAGGCTGTTATCCACCTCGGCCAATAGTACACCCTCCTCGGTCTGCATAATTCTTCATATCATACTCAGCCTCATTCAATAACTGTTGCCTTTATACCTCGCAGTGGTACTGGATTTATAGCTATGGTGTTTGGATTCAACTGAGTCATAGCAAAATTGCTATAAAAGATACAGCATGTGTAAAGTGAGGTGAGAGATTCAGGCGCGAATGTAGAATAAATACTTACTGATTTCCTAAAGGAGCGCCAAAGGCGCAAGCTTTTTAACGTGGCCCGGGGGCATGCTCCTTAAAGTCCCCTTTCCTGGGTTTCCGAGTCATTTAGACAGAATATTGGAATATTGAAAGTCTATTTATTACTAAAAATATATAGTTATGAAAATTATGACCGGTTTCCGTAAAACGGTGGAAACCGGTGTGGATTCGCGCCTGAGATTTTTACAGTGTTCTCACAACCACTTTTAATGAACTCGATCTATATAATAACTGACTTACTGAATGAGGTTTTTTTTCAATTTTGTGGGGAGTTTAATATTCAAAGCGCAGTGAAACCCCCTCCCAGGCCACCGCTCGGCTCTCTTCGCTTGCCAATATTTTTCCTATTTTTTGAATTCTTCATGACAAATACTTTCAAGTGAAGATGGCCTGACAAATTTTGGCCTTTAAAACTGTATAGCAGTTGTCTTTACAATCTATCTTTACCTAGACTCGTTCATGAAGGGTCTCTCGGCTTCATGGACGGACAGATCAGCGAGGGTTCATGGGCAAGATGTTGTTTCATTGCTGAATGATCCGTCGTTTCTTTTAGGACATTTATTCCCTCTTCCGCGGCCGCGAATTTAAGATCCAACGACGTCATGACGGCAACGAAAAGGTCGCTTAAAAAGTGAATTTGCCTTCTTTCAGTCTTTGTGAATCGCATTTATTCCTACCCACTTACTTTGTCAAATGTAGGCGATCCCTCTTGAAGTTGAATTCAAAAGGACCATATCCAAATTCAGAAAGAGAAATAAAATTTCTTCGTTGCTTGTTCACGTACTCCATAAAACGCGCAATTAGGCATTTTCACGTCGTCGTCGATCGTGCAAAAACGGAATGATAGAAATGTAAAAAAAAGTACGTGCAAAGTTGTTGTTTTGCTTATTAAACCTATTGAATATTTTGACGTTCTCGTAGCCGTCGCGTTGTTGGATCTTTAACTGGCCCCTAAACAGCCGATCCACGTCAAAATATTTTGTATCTCAGGGAATTACAATTGTCGTTCTTCATCAGAACTCCAGTCCGTAACCGTATAACGAATTCTGGCTGAATTTATTTTAAAAGGATGTAATTATCAAAAACTGGAATTAGTCAAAACTGTCTGTTACATTTTTCGGCTGCTGTCTCTAGTAAGCTGCCACTATCATCTGAACTCTATTGAGTGCCAATCAGGTGACCGGTTCAATTATTTTGAAGTTTCAGATACTTTGAAGAGAGATCCCCGTTGAACAGGAATGTAAATTGAATTTTTCCTTTTTTTTTTAACTAGAGTATTGTTTGGTATATTATGATAGCATAACAAAAGATGCAATTTATAAATGGTTAATATGGAAAATGAAATGGTCTATTGGTTAATGTCGCGCAAACAGTCACGGAAGATTGCGAGTGACCGATGAAAATATCGATCGCTTACTTGATCGAGTAACAATGATCAACGACGTAGAGGGCTTCAAAACATTTTACAAATAAATGTTCGAAAATCGAAAATCGAAGACAGTGGCGAATGATAAAATATGTTGGTTGTTTACTGAGGTTAACCTCATTCCAAAACACGAAGATTTTCAGTTTTTATCAAACAAGGTTCGATCTAAATGCTTCCAAGACGGCTGTAACGTAAAGATCTGATTTTCGGTTAGTCCTCTAGAGACCATGATATCATCTCATCGTTTTTCCCGGCTTTGAGTAACCCCACGATGGCTTTATTCACTTTACAATGAGTTTTCTGGATTTGCATTCAGACATTTTTCACTTGTAACAGTGTTGTAACAGAACTTAGCCGAGTAAAACGAGTCAACTGATCTGAACTGAATATTCTGGCCGAAGCATCTGCTTTTCATCACTGAGCCGTAATTGACATCTCGATCTTTATGTCTTTCGAGCGAGTTTTTGGATTCATCGCCGGTTTGGTGAGGAACTAACCCGGTAACTGATATAGCTACATAGATCATATTTTTCATACAATGAAGCTCGACCATTGCATTACAAGAAGAGAAGGCCATAGAAACTGCGCCCGTGGAGCCAGTAACTCTCCTCGAGAGGAATTTTCATTGCCGACTGGTATTGGATTCAAAGTGTAGTTTCCAGTTATTACAGACGCATTTGAAGATATATTTATTCCGTTTGACTCGAATAAGACATTGGGACGGGCCTAAAAGGAATAAAGTTCATACTCAGTTGAGGTTTGATTGGACTAATGTTCCACTCTTTTTGGTCCAATGCAACAGTCAGATTACAAATTAGTATTCTCAGTCATCTTTTCTCCTACTTTGAACTTAACAAAGAGACCAGGGGCCCGTTTCTCGAAAGTCCTGATAGTAACGGGCCCGGTAAGCTGTTGCCGTTTACATTAAAGATCGAGGTTTCAATAGCTTTGCATCTAACATGATAAAACTGTCAGTTAATGAAACGAAATGGAGTAGTTTGCTAGCCAGGAGCAGCGCTCTTATTCTTTATATTTCGATTTGAATATTTGATTTCGGGCCCGAAAAGTTCCGGGACTTTCGATAAACGGGCCCCAGGTATGATCAATTTTGAAAATTTTTCGACTATGGAGTTAACCTCAGTTGAAAACTAACTAGCCCAAAAGCTGCAACTATCGATTCTCCATCCTGGCCATCGTAACCTGAGCCAAAGACATACACTTAATTTAAGTCAATGCAGATCAATTTTACAACAAGATCCATTTTTACAGGTTTTTCTGTGACTTCAATGTGTTTTTACGGTTAAAGAGAATTATACCAAAAAAAAATGCTCCCTTTAAAGTTTTTTCTTTGTAAATAGAACTGCCGCAAGCGCGGATTGGAGGCGCCGTCCTGAAGCTTTCATGTGAAAAATGCTTTAATTGTTCAGTAATATTTTTAATACAGTGGTATCAATATTCTATACTAGTTTTCGAGTAGGTGATTAATAACCGCAACCTCCCGTTCGATTATTCAGCCCGATTCGCTAAAATGCCTGTTCCCTTCACCCGCCAAACATTATGGGCCGCTTATTTAAACGAAGTCTAACTTTTTGAACGCGGTTTAAGAAATCTTTGGAGCTTCAGATCTCCTACTTAGTGGGTTCATTTAAGAAGATAAATCAGTTTTTTCTAGTCTACACTATACATGCTTTAGAAAGTGAAACTGTTCACGACGAATGGTGTTTAGATAAACTGTAAGCGTTAGGCAAAGATAACCCGCCCTATAAACTTTACCTGCGACTTTTAGAACCCTCCAGGATGCTTTTGCTTTGCTGTTGTTTTTCAACTCAACTTCCATTTCTTGGAATGCTCGGCGGTCGGTATTTCACGTCAGACCTCCTTTCATTTCATGTCACTGATGACTGGGTTAATATTCATCGAAGAGAAATTACCGGACCAAAACTGACTATGCGGGATTATTCAGTCGCCATCAGTTTTTTACCTTCTTGGTAGCGAAAGCATGTAACCTTGAAAAAGTAGTTGAAGACACCACTCTTAGATAAAATTTTTATTTCTTAATTTGAAGTTTCTACCCTCTAAACTCAGTGCTAACTCCAAGGAGGTTTGAAAAATACAGCATTTCTTGCTGTCTGCATTTCTCTGTCAGACTTTCCTCGAGCACTCAATAAAATTGAGTCAAATTGGGAATCCATGTTTTAGTCTATTCTCTTATTAAATACTGGCAGGTAGGCTTGTTTATGAAAGTAAACTCTGTTGAATATATAATATCTGTAATTAATATCATCATTTTGTTGTCTGAAGTAAATCGTTACTGACTTATCCTTTCAAAAAACTTCTTCAGTCTTATGTCTGTGTGAAAAGTAATGAACATTATTATTTTCGTTTGCTTGAGTGTTCAATTTTTGCTTTTTTGGAGTTATACAAAAAACATAGGATACAGGACAAAACATGAAATGTCAGAGGATAAAATCCGTTCGCATCTGTTTTTATCAAAACAGATAATATGTCCGCTTTGGAGACTGGTGCGACGGGTCACGTGATTACGCCATCGACAGCAACGTGTGCTTGCTTGAAATCATCTTGAAGTCCGATGAAGATAAGGCTAGAAAACACGGTAAATTCTCTCCTATTTTTGTAAATCTGACTGTATAACTTACTAGTACGTTAGATAGATAATTTACCTTTCTGTTTGTAGTATTTTGGAGCAGAGTGGAAGCGTTTAACTTAGCGTATTTGTTGTTAAAAATATGCGTTATTTTAGTCATCGGACTCAATATATATTCATCTTTCGTGACTAGACCGATGAGGAAATGTAAATGGCTTCTGTTCGTCTGTGATTAATTTCAAACCGAAGCAATATATTGATGCTGTCCTCATATTACTTTTAATTTTAATTCTCGGATAAAGGTCGTGATTGTGCTAGCAAACAAGGTCATTTATCTTATAGACACTACTGACAAGAGTAAGTTCAGCTTGCTAATAACCGACCTTAAAACTATTCATCCCCGGCTAATAAGCATCATTTGAGTCGCAACCGCATTTCATTTTCAAGCGTTTCAAATTTTACATGTTTCATTCGCTCTCTGGTGATATCAAAAGAAGCATCATTAGTAACGGTTTTTAATTTCTGTTAATTTATCTGCGATGTTTTTTGAGCTCATGTGGCCGGAGTTGTCAGGGCTTTGCAGCGGAGCGAGAAAAGGTGTTGGTATAATGACCGGAAAATAATATTTCTGAAGAATTTATGCGTTTCGCTTGTGCATTATTTCAACATCTTACATACATAAATAGCCTTTCCATAAAAGCCTACGTCGATTAATCTTCCAGTTAATTCCTGAATCAGCAAAGTCCCATTTAGATTCGTGAACGTCAACCATCTATGCGGCCGATTTCGATATTGGTTCAGTCAACGTGAGTTGAACGTGAACTACTTAAACTAAATAGTGATAGAAAGCGTATCTTTCAGGACGATAACTGCTTTAAATGTACTCACTTTCTGCCTAGTTTTCGAGTCCGATTAAAAAAGGTTTTGTGTCGCATCTTGCGTGCCTTCTTTAACCGGAATTTTTATGACCCCTATCATCGTAAAGGGGAATTCGAAAGTAACTTGCCGATCAATCAAATTAAACTGCTGAAGAATTTCCCTTTGTCATTCCAGAGTTTAATGCTATAATGTTCAGCTTAGGTCACTAAACTGGTTTATCTTTTTGGGTCTTTGTGACTAATGATCTAGAACAAGGGAATTTCCAGTTACCGCGAGTTTAACATTGTGGAACGCCGTGACTACAGCTCACCGTCTATTGAAAGTAGTTTAACAATAGAAAGCATGTTTTTGCCCCCGGTCAGATCATGGCTAATTGTAGAAAAAGTCTTTTGCGTTATCAACCCTTCCAGCTTCATTCAAAGACAGAAATGAAGCGAATAGCAACTATGCGTTCAAAACTCGCAACAAGTTCAACACTCGCTGCCGTACCTCCAGCCGGGTTAAAGTTGTTGCCTCAGATCGTATTTTCAGGTTACCGTATAATCACTTTTTGCATTTAAACATTGCTTCAGTGTATACTGTTTTGTCCATAATTCTGCCCACTGAGGAAAACGGATAAAAGAAAAGCAAAATAACTCTTCACCATACCGGGAGAAAATATTGAGACCAGAGTCTGCAAGAACAATTCATTTCGAGTCATCGACTTCATTTTGTTTTCAGTTCATGTCGGATATTTGGATATAGGAAACAGGCGTTATCCAGCTGCAGCTTCTCTGTAACCTGTATAGTTACTTGATGTAGAATTAGACCGTCTACCATTCTGTACACATCTCCCGAAGTTCATTTCTTCAGAAGACAGACGTTTTTGACTCAGAAGAAAATTTTGTAACGCGATTATACGACGTGCTATCACGGTCTTTGGTTTTTGCTATTTTTACGCTGGAATTTATGCTCGCTACTATCCCAGATTTATCAGAGTTCACCATCATGTTTGCTTCTTTTTCATTTCTTGAATTGAGAAAATCGTTGTCCATTCTGTCCATTTTCCCTAAATGTATATTATATAAGGAAAAGAATATAATTAACAGAAATAATAAATCGAAATGTTTACATATTTTAAGTTGAAAAATACTTTATCGCAGCAACTTTACCTCATTCTCCCCTTCTCATTCTTTCAGCGGTCTTTGACTGTTCCCGAACTTTGGGGTGTTCAAATGGACGTTTTTATGAATGCTTAAACCCTTAGGGTAGTATGAAATCCATGAAGGTTATGTTCACTTCACACCGGCAACAAACGGACCTGATGCAGTATTAAATAGAGGTGATCTTTCACACTAGACTGCAGCTAAAAGAAACGTTTATATTCGGGTGTTCATTAGCTGTGTCGCAAAGCGTTTCCTTGCTTAGCAAGCGTTTCCGCGCTAGTTGGTCGAGAAATTTGCGGACGAGAGCTCTCGCTCCAACTTTGCCACAATCAGTGATGTTTCTTGGCGATCGGAAACGCTTGCGAAGCTGCAAGCTATGGAACAGACCACAAGTAAACCAGTTCGATTTTTCAGCGGAAGTTAGCGCTAAATCTTTCACTCATTTCAGTTCTTACAACAAATCTTCTTTTCATTGCATGTTGCATTGCTTGGATTTTTCTACGCTAACGGATATAACTCGCGTACACCGCTCAGTGGAATTAAACATTCAATTAGAAAAAGGCTCTGAAAGAAGCTATTACCCGGCCTTCAAGTTATCACCGGGATCATCACCAGCTCCTTAAAACTTGACGTCCACTTAATTCCGAGATAATCAAATATTGTTTGAAAGGTCACTTTGAGTTCGACTCTTATACAGGATATTCGTTAATAATGCCCTTAAGACTGGTTCCCATTTGAGCAACGATGGATAGGACCGTTGTCTAGAGATCGTAACGATTCCCAGTGATTGCGTTGATTCTATTTGAAACAATCTGCATGAAACGAGCCCGTAAGATTGGACCTTATTGCCAGTCAGTGACCATGCTGATCGACGGACATCGTTGTGAGTTCTACAATTGCTGAAGGGGTTTTTCTGCTGGTGTACAGTACTTGTTAAGGCTGCTTTCATATTATCACCTCGACCTTTACGCTTCTGTATAGAAAAAGCTAAGCGATTTTATACCGACTTGGATCGCTGACCAGTTATGTCCACAACCAAAAAGACAATAAAATGAACGTACCGAATCATCTCAATGCTCGCTATGACTGCTAGAAAGTGATTCTTTGTCATTTCGATATGGGCGATCGGTGAGATAGAAGACAGTTCTCCCTCATTACTAACAGTTGTTACCATATAGTCGCCACTATTGCCTTTTTTTTTTTTCAGTGTTATTTTTTTACGTCGATCACATTGAAACCAGCCTGTAATTACATGTTACTGTAACAACTTTTTATCGCCGAAACTACAAATTATTCAAATTATAAGATTAGGCATTAATAGATATTTTTAAACATTAGCCTAAGGTCTAGCCAAAAGTCTTCAGTCAAAACTAGATCTTCTTTCTCAGCGAATTCGTGTAGTGTTTGTAACGATACCAATTCTATCAACCAAATCGGCCCTTTTTTTTTCTGTATGGCTGTTTTCCAGTTATTCAGCGATTAATTGGCTTTTAACTTTAACGCAAATAGAGGTTTCGAGGTCTATTTTAAGAGGCAGCCAAGGGAATCCGGATTCCGATATCCAGGAAATTTTGGCTTGTGGAATCCTGAATCAGGGCCTTTGAATTCGGAATACAGCTCAAGGAATCCAGAACCCCACTATCGATTGGAATCCGGAATCCAAGTTCCCCTGAATGACTGGCGAAAAAAATCCGGTATCCAGCCCCTGGAATCCGGAATTCAAGACTGTCTTAGCCAACATCGTCCCTGCTGGGCTGTGGAAGCTCTGCCTCTGAGAAGGTGTAAATTCTTTGCGATAAATGCATATTTCTATATACGTCCGTCGAATTCGGCATCCTAGACCGAGGCCTGACCTGTAGCAAGACAGGAAAACTTTGGACTGCACTCTTTCTTTGTTAGAAAAACGAAAAACCCAAGGATCTTAGTATGTAGATTGCAAAATAGCCCATATTTTTCCGTAGTTCAAGAAAGCGCTAGCAGTCAAACGAAAAACTTGGAGCGAGGGGAAAAATATAGACAGGCCGGGGTAGGTGATGAAAAAACTACATACTGCCTGTCCACTCTGCTTAGGTACAGTTCGTTTCTTTTTTCCACGCCCTATGGGCGTGCGATGCTTATTAAGTGCATCTACTATTTATAATCGAAATCACAGCATTATAAACAGGGCTGATGTTTAACAAAGTGCACTTTAAATTACCGTAAAATCCCCGGTTATAGGCTCTGGGCTTATATATAATTTCGTAATGGGTTTTGGTTGGGTTTACGTGCGAGAATAAGGCTTATCTCAGAAAGTGGTATTTGGCCGGAAGGGGAGCGTCTTGTATTGAAATAAAAATTAAAGACTCGAACCAAGCTGACTAAGACGCTTACTTTATGTTGTAAGAAGAAAAAGGATGAGAAATTTAACTCTAACTGTGACTGGAACACAACAAAAGAAAGTATATATACGGGTACTTGCGAATGATGTACCTATTACCCGAGGGAAGCTTATTAGCCGGCCGGGGGAGTCCGAAATAAAATTTCGGGCAAATACATGCGCTTATCACCGGAGGCGTATTTCCTCGGTTTTACTAGCCTGTGCAGCAAGCGTTTCCAGTCGAGTTATTGCGCGAAAGTTAGAGCGGAAGCAAAAAAAAAAGGCTTTCCCCTCCCCCTCCCCCGTCATTCAATTTTTTTTTGCTCTGGTCCCGGCTTTCTAGACGAACCTCGCGAGGAAACGCTTGCTACGCAGGCTACGGTTTTACGGGACGAATGAGGTAAGCCATGAAGGTTTTTTTTCGATAAAGTAACGTCCTTTTTTGACAATACTTTGCAAGCATTAGCCAGACATGGAAACCACTTTTCATCATGATTAAAAACATAATTTTATACCGTGTTATTTGTTGCAGTGAATCAAACCGTGCCAATACATCTAGAGTATCAGGAATTGGAAATGTTGCGCTCCATGAAGTTACAAGATCTCAACTCTCATATTCTGTGTGTTTTATGTGGTGGATATTTAGTGGATGCTACCACAATTGTGGAGTGCCTTCATTCCTGTAAGTATTTCATCCTAGCAATTTTTGTAGTTAGTGTAGTAGTTAGAGCCAGTCAAATGGATGTCCTTGATACAGTCATTATTGCTAACTGTTTTTGTTTCTTTATATCATAGTTTGTCGCAGTTGTATCGTGAAATATCTTCACAACTCATTTCACTGCCCCGTTTGTGATGTTGAAGTCCATAAAACGAAGCCTTTGCTGCACATTCGGTAATTGGAAGTTTTGAAATGTTTATAAGTGAAGACTGATTATTGCGCTGCCTGTGAGGGCAACGAAGAAATACCTTCCATCTATGCGAACAAAGACTAAATGGCGGACGGAACTCTCAGAAAGCTTTGCATGTCCCACTCCCCCGTCAATGGGGCCTACTTTTGCGGGGAGGGGACAAGTAATTCTTTCAGGTCGTCTGGCGAACAGACTTGGAAGTCGATTTGGAACGAACACAGAATTATTGCGTGGAGTTAATTGGCCCTATGTCTACGCCGCAGTGTTCGATGAGTTTAGCCTGCGTGAGGGCTACAGAAACAATGCCCTCCCAAGGTGATTGTCTTAATAAGCATCGAATGACTAGAGGTGAATAAGAAGTTACCACACCTTTTAACGGGTTTGTTAGCTCAATCGTGTGCCATTGAAGATCTGGATTTGGCTCATATTTAGCTATATTTAGCGAAAGGCAACGCGATAAAGGCTTATTTATACGTTGCATGATTAATTGTCTTTTCTTTTTTTCCATTTTTTAAACTCTTAGACCAGACCGAACTTTGCAAGAAATTGTGTACAAACTTGTGCCAGGCCTCTACCAAGGTAAAGTCTTAAACTGGAAATACATGTCTCGCAAATCCCCAAGATAAGTCTTAACGGACGGGTGGGGTTATGAACTAGTTTTAGCTTCGCTTCGTTAGAAATACTGTAAGGACCTTGTTGGACACACAGCAGCGAAATGAAAATGTTGTCGTGTTCTAGTGTAGATTAGGATCAGCAGAATCTGAACAAAAAAATAGAAAGAGAAGAAATGCAAGGCTGATCCGGGACTTTTATACTTTTGTTGTCCAAGACTTCAATTAGACAAAATTAATATTTGTTGGCCGTTAAAAAAAAATAAAAAAAATAAAAAAATAATAATAATAATAGCCTGCATTCGAGGCTCATGATAGACAATCTCAACGCAATCAAAAAGTTGGCAAAGAACGTTTGGGAATGTCTTAAAAGGTTTGTAAGTTCATTTTTGGTCACATGCTACAAAAGCGTGGTCGGCTCTTATAGGCTGGATGCCTTGAAAACGTTCTAACATACCTTGCAGCAATCGAGTTTAGACCCATACCACGGCAATAATCATTTAGGAAGAACTAAGACTCATGCTACCGAGTCCCTGGCTTAATAGGGACCTTAAGCAACGAGAACGTTGACGTCCCGGATGTCAAAATTTGAAACCGGAAGTTGATATTTTCTCTCTTTCTGTGCTCTGACTGAACAAATTTGTACAGCGGGAGTTAAAACAAAGGCGTTCAGATCCGTTTTGTGAGACAACAGTGTTCCATCAAGCAAGACATCGAACTTCCGCGTGCTATTCATGACGTCCGGGACGTCAGCGTTCTCGCTGCTTAAGCTTACATATAGGTGTTGGGAGAAGAACTTTTCGCTCGGGAAACACAGAGAGGCGTCTTAAATAATCATGGAGGAATTCACTTTTTCTTAAAATACGTAGGTGAAGTGAAGCTTCGAGAGAACTTCGAAGAAAAACAAAGGCAAGAAAATATCTCAGAAGGTAAGGTGAAAGAAGTCCATTTTGTGAGAGCGTGCCAATATTATGCTAAGGATCAATTAATGTGTAATCGCTTGGAAATGTGACTTAAATATATGTAACTCAGTTAACAACAGTGGCTGGCTATTCTATACTGAAATTCAAAAGCTAAGCTGTTTGTCTAAGCAAACTAAAAGCAATTTTCAGATTTGATTAACCCCCAATATCTTGAGTCACTTGTGCTTGATAAAGATTACGCTCTTCGAGTGTGTAATCGAATGATAGGAGGCTGCTCTACCATCGTTGCATTACCTTAATTTCGTTGTACAATCAACCGTAATTATGTTCGAGTAAGAAAAGGAATCGAAAGCGTTCATGTTATGTGAGGGCTATTTTTCCAAACTGGTTGTCATTAGCCAGATACCTAACACCTTAGCTGGAGCTAAAAACGACCTGTATGTCATGCAACCCACTCCGTCACCTTAGTGGTCCCCACAGGAGCGGGATTATAGCCCCTTATTTTTGTTAACTGTCCTTAATTCTCAAAATAATCGTTTAAATTGTTGCAAGTGGGAAAATCGGCTTACCTTGTTCTTTTACTTATTTACTAGTTACACAGTACCCACCCTATGATCATCTGAAATATTTTATATTTTCAGAGGAAATTTCTACCGAGCATGAAACGAAGAACAAACAGCATATTGAAATGAAAGATCCAGTTTGTATAACACTGGAATATTACAGGTATGGCAATAGAATTTCTGTAGGAGGCATTACAACGCCAAAGTTTGACCTCCTTTATATGTGACTTAGTTTGACCATAGTTTATAATCATTCTTTTTACTCAATAGACGAAAGAGGAACTGGATGGAAAAGCAGGTAAGGAAAACAATTAATGTTTGTCATTCTTACCCTCATTCTCATCATCATCGTCATCATCATCATCATTACTATTATTATTATTATTATTATTATTATTATTATTATTATTATTATTATTATGATCATCATTATTCCTTGTCTTGATTTTGGAAGCTCTTTTACGAACTTCGAAAAATACCATTTTCTCTTTCCTTTTTTCAGATATTTCCCACTCGTTATCTTCGATGTCCTTCGGCAGTGACCGTTACTGTGCTCAAGAAATTCCTGATTATGAAGTTCGCTATTCCTAGCACACACCAGGTAATCCGCCAATCTGGTGCTTTATTCAAGTCGTAGATTAATGGAAAAAAAAAATTTACACAGACCGTACTGGAAATGTTAATAAATTTTAATTGGGTCTTTTGATTTCCTTAGGTGGAAATCATCCGCTGCGATGAAATACTGCACGGTCATCTTACTATGACAGAAGTTTCTCGGATATATGGACTCTATGCTAAGGTGAAAATGCATATATATAACACAAGCTTGCATTTATCGATGTTGTGGCCACCATGTTGTTTTTTAAATAAGCAATCTGTAGCTGCTGGTCATTTTGTTTTACTCTAAGAAAATGCAACCATAAACAGTTTTCCAAAAGAGTGATCGGACCTTCTCAAACTTTTCACATTTTGTCGGCCGTCCCAGAACCCATCGAAATTCTTCTCTCCAAAACTTGAGTCACCTTATCGAGTATTTTTAGAGCTGTCACAGTTTTATATTTTTGACATTTTTCAATCGTCTAGATCGCAAAACAACCTTTTTCTTTCTCGAAAACTTAGTACAGGGTGTAAGTCAAGCTTTCCGTAAAACGTGTAAGCGTATTGAGTTCCTTAATGAATTAGAAGGAAACCAAAGGATACAGAAACTTTTAAGTCCCCTAGCTTATTTATATTTTGTTCACAGTCTTTTCTGGATCTTGAATACGCCATCCTTGAAGTCGGAGTAGACAAGACTACAACTGTTGAGAACAAAAACATTTACAAATTTTCGCACGGAAAGATCCATCCCAGAAAAAAGAAAAAACGAAAAAGGGAAGCGAACTGTGCCGAAACAAAGATACAGCAATCAACTACTGCGGAATCTTTTCAACCACCATGTAAAATTGCAAGTTTAGCGGAATGTAGCAACAGTGCCGAGCCCATGTTACAAAGTGACATTTTACCAACATTTCCAGACACTCCACCAAGTTTTGACCTTATACCAGATGCAAAACCGATTGAATACCGTGCGTGATGTCGAACGATGAGTAGAGCCGTGACTTGTACAAACCGATCGCCGAATGCTGGTTGACTCTGAAAGGGTCTATAAGTTTGGTTCAGACGAAAAGATGGCTCTGGCTCCGGGTGTAGAATTCAAAGGGAAGAATCAAACATTCAGAGAAACTTGAAACATTTTTGGTCCCAGCCTTTTTGTAGCCAACGGGCAAGCCTTTCCAGGAGAGCCTGTGAGAGAGTTGGAATGAGAGAGAGAAAGACAAGTGGGGGCGGGGTGGGGGTGGGGTACGGGTTAGAGAACAAAAGGGCAAAAAGAAAACACTCTCCCCTACTCCTCTTTCCATTTTTTTCTCGCCATAACTTTCGCGTAATAACTCGATAGGAAACGTTTGCTTTATTGTATTTCTTTCCTGAAACAGAATTAGCGTTGCCTTGTTATCGGAGGCTGGAAAAGACTACTTCTGTTGGCATAGCTTGCCTAAAAGCTGGTTAAAATCCAAAACTGTCAAACCTTTTTTTTCCCTTTTAAATTTCAACAACTCTTGCCATTTACTGAGTTAAACAGGGAACGTAACCTTTAAAAAGTAATGTTAATATTTAACTTTTTTATCCGCGGAAAATCTTTATTATCTTCGGATATGCCTAACGGCCGGGTGCTTCTTCTAAGAGAAAATAAATATAAATAACTTATATTGCTAGATATGCTTCAGCTAGCAGAGAAATGTATATAAGATAAGAAAAGGAAACTTTATAAGAAAATAAATTGCGAAAATTTGTAATGAAATGGAGTCTAATATTGATGTGCACTTAAATGTGTGAAAAATGAGGTTCTCCTGGCCAAAAGGTTTTGAGGCACCACCCCTTTTTCACGTGTTTTTGTATGGAATTTGTGGCTAACCTACCACCATTTCCTTAACGTGTGCAAGATATGCAAAAGGTGTTTGTAACACCCAACACTGTCCAGGGGGAGGGGGGGTCAACTTGAATTACATTTTCCTCACCTGAAACACAAAGTGTCCCAAACGTTTTGACCAGGATTGTAGAATCTCGTAAAATGTGCGTAGTTTCCAAACTTTTTAATTTAAAAATTGAATTTTCCGACTTAAAATCTAAGATGGAGGTCAAAATGGCGGTGATTGTGATTACCATCGATCTAGTCCTCTCTTCGGGGTTTACCTCGGTGTACGAGCCGGTGAACTTTTCTATGTTCTGTTGCTTTTGTTTTCCTATAGATTCTATTGTGTTGACGTCTTTGTTTTTTTTACATTACCCTTAAGTTTAACAGGCTCTTACACCAAGGATGAGCTCTCTTCGTTTAAAGATGTTTGGTTCGTTTATTTTAATTTCGTGTCAGCGACTATTAAAACCACTTTCAAGAAAACATCCTGTACTACGCTTACATATTCTCCGAATAGGCGACTCGAACTAACATGGAATCAAACGCAATTCAGACAGAAAAGGACTAAAAATAAGTTATTTTTTACACAGCTTGTAACCGTAAGAAGTTCGAAGCATTTGACGACAATAGCAATCAAGTATAGCCTGCGTCGCAGACAGTCGAAATCCCTGGTAGGTCTCTATCTGGGTCTCGAGTGACAAGTCCGGCTACAACGCAGGCTAATCAAATACAGATATTATAGCGCTCCTTTTTGAATGAGCACCCCTTTAGTCCGATCTCATAGTAATTAACGTTAACATTCAATTAGTGGTCAGTATTGCGTTGCATAATTATTTTTTGTCTCTGTTTTGTTCAAAGCATTTTCCTCACTTCTTAATTCAGTTTTTTTTCTCACTTTTATACAATTTCAGTAAATATATGCAATCATCGGCTCCTGATGCAATATAATCAGTTGTAAATTGCAACGCCTTTTTTTCAAAACCAAGCCACGCCTTTTGCTTCAAAGGGTTTGCTTTCACTTGTTACACAATCAAGTGGCAAATAAGAATTTTTTTGCAGACTCAGCATATCTCATCTATTCAGTAGAATTTGAAGACAGCGTAATTAAAACGCTTTTTTCTATTGCTAATAAGCTCGCTCATCATTTTAACCCATTTATATCCCCAGTGTATTACGTAAAACTTGGCATGTTTTCCCGAAAAATGCGTTCCTCATTATTTTCATGTCATTCTTTTCGATCATCAATTGAAAAGAAAATTTTATTGATGTCTTATAATTAACAAGCTATTGTTTTTCGTTCTGAGTATGATATATAAACCGCGTGGAACAGAGGATGATTTTATTCGTACCTTAGTTGTCACTGAAAAAGGTTGACATGACAGTTGGTCACATAATGAAGTTAGCGCTGTTCTTGTTAGCCGTTCTTCCATCGATAGAGGCAAATTGGGGTCAGTGCAGAGAAGCAAATTGGAAAGGAAAGTTTAACAAAAAGAGCTGGGTGAGATGTGATCACTCTACGGAATACATGACCGGGCTCTACAGAACGGACGGAAACAACGCTGATATTTCTTTGATCGAGAAAGCCATGTGCTGCCAAGCTCCTTCGCCGAATCAACATCAGCAGTCATTTTGTAAGAAAGCAGATTGGTGGAAAACATTGGACAGGTCAGTAACGAGCCGATTATTGGGTGCTGCAAGGGAGACACGACGAGGGTTCAATTATACTCAGTCTGATTTATAGTAATATAAAAGAGTAAATTAAAGAGCGGACACACCCGAAAACCTGCACAATTTAAATTATCTTATGAGTGCCTGCTCACAACAAAATACAGAACCAGCTTTTTTATATAATGTTAGTTAGTTTAATAAAAATAATAGGTTAATTTGCTAAAGTTCGTGCAGCAGAAAGTAGGTGAAGTGTTTTACGCAACAGAGGCGTTATGAAATTGTCTAACGAGCAGTCCACGAAATCAGCGTCTGTTTTTTTTACAGACATTTCTTGTATTCTACCAAATGAGTTTGTTTTTGGAGATCAGTTTCTTTTAGTAAATTAAAATGCCCTATGAGCAGTGAACTCGCTGATTTCGGAAAATATATTTCTTTGGCCTATTTTTATGGCAGGAACGCCAGCGAGCCGAAAAAAATTAATCTTTGACATTTTATTGTTTAGCAACAAACGTTGGGCCAATTGTCCGGATGGATACTTCATGCGGGGGCTATACCGAGGCGATGGCCAACGGCTTCACCACATCGAGGAGGGCAGCTGCTGTAGACCCAACAACTTACCTAACCGATATCTTGACTGTTACGAGAAAGATGTCGAAAAAACATTCGACAAGAAAGGCTGGGGAAAATGCTCCAACGGTTATTACATGGCAGGTTTCTATAAAGGAACTTGTGACAAGGTCTACTGCATCGAAAAATTCAGATGTTGTAGTATGAGTGACGATGGCTGCACAATGGCAGACTGGTGGTCGGCCTTTGATAACAAAGGATCAGTCGAGTGTTCCTCTTCAACACAATACATCACTGGACTGTGGAGAAACAAGCAAGCAAATGACGACAAGATATATTTGCTAGAGGAAGCAAAATGCTGTCCAGCTCCTGCACCAAACAAGCATACGCCATCAACTTGTCAAAAAGCTAACTGGTGGAAAATTCTGGATGGGTAAGGGTTTCGTACTCCAAAGCTGAATGCAATGTAATAGAATATATAGCAGAATTAGTTTTAAACTTTTCAGTTGTTTCACATCACAGTCAACAGCAACCAACGCCGAGTTTAATTTATGCTTCACGGAACCGTTTTCATTGCCTTTCATTTGGCTGAAACTTCCAGCCAATATCCCCCAATTCCAGGGGTAAGTCCTGATTAAAAATTGAATTCTCTTTACGATTGGCCGCCAAGTTCTGGCCTGGTAAGCGCCCTTAGATAGAAGTTTCTTAACCCGTTCTAGGATTTAGTGCAGCTATTTGATTGTCATAAAAGACTGAAAAATGTAATAATTTAAAGACTTGCCAACTGCTGCAAAAACTTTTTAACCAAGTCATTTAAAACTTTAACCCATATTCTTGCTATTTAAAAGAATGTCTGGGCGATTTGACCAACAGGTTACTTTATTAAGGGATTTTTGACTCCTGTATTCTTAGGTCAATAGCATTTTTTTTATCTTTTTTTTTTAACAACGAATAACCCGTATTTTTGCTATTATAGAAATAATGTCTGGGCGGTTTGCCCAACTGGTTACTTTATCAGAGGCTTTTACCGCAACGACAACGCTTGGCTACATAACATCGAGGAAGCGACGTGCTGCAAGCCCAACTCTTTTCCAAACAGATATGAAGACTGTTACGATGAAAATATCGGCTCTTCTTTTGACAATATTGGACTCAGCGAATGTTCAAAGAATGACTACTATGTTGTTGGAATTTACAAAGGCGGATGCGACGAGCTGCATTGTATTAAGACACTAAAGTGTTGCAAAATGGTGGCGGGTGAGTAAGCAAAAGCATCACTCACGCAGCAGTCGTAGACAATGTAGAAATCGTTTCGTTTAGATTATGAAAAAGGACCTGCTTTGCCATATTTGGAGAGGAAACTTTGCATAAGTTCTCTCGCAGCTTGCCTTCGTTGGTAACCAGATTCCTTAATAAATAATAGGTTACGTTGAAAAGGCAGTTATGGTGACTGTATTATATTCCACATGATAAATTTATAAAATAATAGATCAAGCAATTCATTTGTTGATGTTCTTAAATGATCTTTAATGCACGGTTTAGTCGTAACTGATAGTTTGATCGCTATTGGCAAGTTTCTCAAATTCCAGTCCTCCTTAACTTAACCTTCCACTGATCTATTGTGTAATATGTGGCTATTAATCTATAGATATCAACGAGTGCACTACCAAGAACCCATGTCACAATGGAGCTATCTGTGTGAATCTTCATGGAAGTTACCGCTGTGATTGCAAATCAGGATATACCGGCAATAACTGCCAAAAAGGTTTGAAAAATACTTGAACAATTTGAAAGAAACTTAGAAGGGAGATAAATAATGTTGTGGTGGTTTGATATAATCTTACCTTGATACAAAAAGTTATATTGGATATTGGAAAAAGTTCGTCGCTAGTCTTTACTTCCTTCTCGTGGACGATAAGAATGATACTCAACTTTAAACTCCGGTGTACAATTTCTGTTTCCAGATATCAATGAGTGCCTAAGGAGTCCATGCAAGAACGGAGCTGAATGTGTCAACGTTCGAGGAAGTTATCGCTGCGATTGCAAATCTGGTTATGAAGGCAGAAACTGTGAAAAAGGTCAGGAAAAAACTTTACTATTCACCTGATCCTTCCTAAGAGTAACTACTACACTCTCAGCTGATTTCTACTCATTTCAAAGTGCACTTATTCTGTTATCCCACTCGTGACCATGTTGAAGACGCTGATGACACCGATTGAAAAATATAGCACAACATTATGACATCTTTTCGTTAGATACAACCGGAGAGTTTATGATATTTTTCATTGCATAGGGGAGAGGGCAATATTTAACATCTGAAGCGTAAAAACTGTGTTCAACTCGGAATAAGAAACTGCGCGGGACTACGTTTCCTTGTTTTGTACTTGGTACTAATATTCCGTAGTATCGTTAAATACTTCTACAGTTATTGCGTTGGCTTTGTTTCGTTTAAATTGCGCTTTATAAAAGAACTGATTACTTTTCAGATATAAACGAGTGTAATAACAATCCTTGCAAGAACAGAGCTACCTGTGAAAATCTTCAGGGAAGTTACCGCTGCAAATGTAAACCAGGATTTACCAACAAGAACTGTCAAACAGGTAATTGCTTTTCTACTTCATAAACAAACAATGGTGAGCTAACAGGCTGCCCTCGCGATATTTTACCAAAAAACTTACGACAAGGTTATTTGCTAGTATGGACTGAATTTAAAAAAGCCTCAAAAATTCCGGCCTTGAACTGTCAGAGGTATAGTATAACATAAAGAGAGCATGCACTGGGAACAGCCCTTGTGTATTGATCGAGCTCTACTTGTGCACATGAACAAAGGGCAGAGTTTGATGTCTCGCGCTGCGTGTTTACGCGCCTAGACCTGCCTGAGCGCCTCCACTAAAGTCTGTTGTGCAGTTTATCTAGAAGCGTTATATGATTATTATGGGATAAAGCGCTCCCTGGATCCAATAACATTCAAAATGGCCGCCATCTTGGAGTTGACAGAAAGTTCAGATTTTGTTCAATTGGAGAGTTAACTAGTTTTTTTTTTGTGCTTGAGGTCGTAAATATGCTTATTCAAAAGGTTATTAAACAAACTAAGTGTTTTATGCTGAGAATGACTTTATTCTTGCCGTCATAGATATAAATGAATGCAAAAGAAAACCCTGTCAAAACGGGGCCACGTGTGTGAATACATTTGGGAGTTACCGCTGTCGGTGTGTATCTGGGTACAATGGCCAACACTGCCAAGCGGGTATTGTGGCTGCATTTATTTTCTTCATATAAGCGCATCCTTTCAAGGTAAAGATGTTGTGCGCGCTCCTCCCGAAAGGAACTTGTTTAGACTTCAGGTAAATGAAAGGGTAGGAACAGCTCAGTATCATTTCTAATTTTTAAAAGAGTATATAAAAGTATTTCAAAGATACCCATCTTGTGTCTGCCAAAATACTTAGACAACCTTCTGTTTAGGGACAGTTACAGCAGTTAAAGGGGATGTAGTGTTTTTGTTAAAAAAAAAAAAAAATACTATCCTTTCCTAAATTTAGAAATTGTGCCTTTCCTTTCCTTTGCGAAGGGGTATCATTCTTTCGAAAATGGTAAATTAATGGGTAAGAGTTGGTCCTCGGAGTGGAGCCTATAACTCGTTGAGTGTCCTAAACATTTCTCCGTGAAAGGATTCTATAAGAAAATTAAAAAATACGCCGGAATACCACCTTTAAAATTAATGTTGAAGATTTACGCTAAATGAACAAAGCAATACAAGACTAAAGAAACTAATGAAGATGCAGACTAAAAGACTGTATAAAGTGATGACAATATCAATGTTTTTTGTCGGTTTTTTTATAGACATCGACGAATGTAAGACTAAGCCATGCATAAACGGAGGAAAATGCGAAAATCTTCCCGGAAGCTATCGCTGTAATTGCCGATCCGGATTTATGGGATATCATTGTCAAACAGGTAATGGTATTGATTTTTTTGTGTGTGTTTAACAATAAACCCTTTTCATAATTAAAAATGTTCTTTACAACATTTTTGTATTTCATTCTTTAATAATAAGCTTGTTCCATGGCCAGTAACATTTTGTATACAGACTCTCAGTTCTGTTATCCCAATAAGAAATTAGCAATTTACATATTTTTATCCTTTTTTTTAGTATCTTGTTATAGCAAAACCATTCCTCTCCACCCCAGACTGACCCTGTTAGCTTGAAATTCGGTGAAATATATTTCTTCCTCTAAATTTTCAGATATCGACGAGTGTTACAGTGCTTACAATCCTTGCAGAAACGGAGGAACCTGCGTGAACTCTGTCGGAGGCTATAGCTGTCATTGTAAAGCTAGGTATTCTGGAATCAATTGCGAAATTGGTGAGAAACGTTACTCTTTAATTTAAGTTTGAACAAACCACACATCCAAGAACACGCCAGTTTACAAGAAACGTTAGAAAAAAATGTTAAAAAGGTCCTTTCTTCTAACGCTCATCGTCATCGTTATAATCACAATCATGATCCGGTCGTTATAATCATCATCTAGTCAGTAATCTTCGTTGACTATTAAATATTTTTATCCTCAATAGATAGACAGTAAATTGTAAGTACAAGCTGTCCCGCATCCACTTTCTAACTATCGTTTGCGAATTATGTCTCTTTTTGTAAGCCTACTCTCCATACATCACACTGAAGGAAGTTGCTCTGCTCTTTTTGTTAGAACCTTGTTTCATTTTCAGCCCATTAAAAAAAATTAGTAATAATTAATGTTCTGTTTGAACAAAATTGTGTTTATAGATTATAAAAACGTTGGCTGCTATAAAGATACTTCAAGCCGGGCAATTCCCACTCTCGAAGACAGAGATCCCATTTTGGATGGTCAGTACTCAAGCCGTAAAAACCCGATAGCTAAGTGCGCTTTAGCAGCTCGCAAGAAAGGTTACAGGATGTTTGCAATTCAAGATGGTGGATGGTGTGCATCTAGTGCGACTGCTGGGAAAACGTTTAACAAATATGGCAAGAGTGATGCGTGCCGACAAGGAGAAGGTGGTGCTTGGGCAAATGATGTGTACATTCTCCAAGGTCAGTGAACGATACATTAGGGTCCTTATGGACCTTTAACTTTCAAAAGTAGCCAGAGTCAAAATTCAACAAAACTTCCCATTTTTATTTCGCTAAATATTGAAAAAACAAATAGCACTGCGCCATATACGAAAGAACTGACAGAAAGTTTCCATTTGAATATAACACACAACAGGATTTAATTCAAAAGGTCAGACACCAAATATTAATGGAATAGGATAATGCACAAGTATTGCTCTTCAGGTTTCAATGTCCTTGTAAAACTGAGTCATACGCTCATCAGAACCAGGCAAATACATGAATCGCTGTCAGTTTTAATTAGCCTATCAGTATGTCGTTCGATCAATATTAATCGAATACGGGTTCTTCTAGTCTATAGGAATCACAATATTCCGAGGCAAAAAGAGCCTTAAGAATAGCTACAAAATTTGCTTTTGCAAAATTTGTTTAAATTTTATGATTTTTAAAACTTTGATTAGGGAAATAGTTTAATTTAGTTGGTGCAGACGTGTTGACTTTCTTTCCAGTACTAAAGTTGAAGCAAGCATTTTTTTTTTTACATTGTGTACTCTCTTTACTCACAGGTTTACCATAGCCTTCATTCTGCAAGATGAAGTTAGCCACTTAGAGGAACAAATTCAACATAAGCTCAGCTGTACATTCAGGACAAACACTCATTGTAGAAAAATGAACTGCATGTAAAGAAATTCAATTAAAATGCATTTAACTAAAGAAACTATTATTTTTTTGTGAATTTTTCTATTTTTCTTCTTTATTTTCGTGTATAAACAGTGCCCCAGTTAAAATAGCATCGCTTCAGAGCAAATAACCTCTCCTCCCCCCTAATATGATAAATTTGTCAAGCCGAAAATTAAACGATTATGCTCAGACTGTTCGGCGTGGTTTCTACAGCAACACCTAGGACAAAAGGCTTTTGTTTTGAGGAATTTGATCCGGTACAATACACCATTTCTTGATTCGTTGACATGTACTGGAAAAGGAAAAAATCACCGCCATGGAATTAACTTACACAGTTTAATATAATGCTCCCGGCAACCTATAACCTTTATGCTGAGGCAAATTGGAACTTAACCGGACCACTATGGATGAAAATGCTCTTAGCCCTTTAAGTCCTCAGATTGATCAAGATTAATTTTCTTCTGACTACATTTTTAAAAGTGGTAGTAAGAGTTACGAAATTAACTATCAATAGCTGTCATTTCTCCTTTCAATAAAGTACCAGATAGTCTGGTGAATGACCAGCTTGTGTCCTACCTGGAGAAAGAATGTCTACGTTTTACTTTCGACTCGATTTTTAGAAAGGGATATTTCACTGCGTATGCCATTCTAGAAACCCCTGGAGAATTTAAAATCAGCAATTAATAATAAAAAATAGCATGTCTTAGATTTTTCAAAGGCCTTCAATACAATCAACCACCATACTCAAATATATAGATTTAGCCATGGCGAAAAGCGAAGCTCCCGTTTATGCATTTTAAATTTACTTAAGATAATGAACTTTAAACCATTGAAAAGAAATCCGCAAATCTATCCTTAACTTTAGGGAGAACCTTACGACTGAGAAGGTGAACACGAGCCTGCTCGCGCGCGTATGGAGCTCCGCTACTACGAAAACTAAGTAAATATGGCCGGGATTTGAAGACTCCTCCATGCATAGTTTTCAAGCTATTCGACTAATCGTAAGCAATATGTCAAAGTTGGTGATACAGAATCTAGCCAGAATATAACATGTGTTGCTGTGCCTCAAGGCTGTAAAACAGGACCACTGTTGTTTATCTGCTGTACATTATTTACTTGCCCAAGGCTTTAAACAAATTAACCTATTCATCTTCGCAGATGATACAAATATTTTTTAATTTTTTAAAGAAGCAGATAACTTGAAAAAAATTACTAATAAAGAACTTGGCAAGGTCCTAAAAATCTGTGCAGCTCAAAATGTTGTCATTGACCTTAAGAAGACCAATAAATTAAAAGATAACAGCCTCACCCAAGAAACAAAATATAAGCGTAGGAGAACAATTTGTAAGATAGAAAAAAAAAATCGCAGATCAAGTATCTGGGCGTTTTTATTCGACGAAACTCCAACACATTAAAAACAAACTGACAAAAATGTTGAAATTTTATTCAAGCGCAAATTATACGTGTATACCATGAATGCACTCAAACCGGAACTGTAATGCGCTCTTTTATATCCCTATCTATGAGCTAAGCCGGGGCTTTGCATGGCAAACAAAGTTACATATTAAAATCAAAATAAGTCAAAATTACTGCCTTCGCTCTATACTTTGCAAACATTGTAGGGGCAACATCTTCACGAAAACGAGACTAAATGAGACGAAAACGAGTCCAAAGGAGTCCAGCTTTTTGCGGCTGAGTTACCCCTGCTAAAATTAATAGGGACGGCTAATCGGCAGTCACCCGTGATAGCTCAAAGATTTCAGCCTCTGTGCCACAGGAACACCAGATTAGGAAGCGTTCTGACGAACGCCATTTAAAAAAAGCCTCCTGCTCTCCTAATATTATTGTTTTTCGCATGTACGTTTGAGTAAAAGTGAAAGAATAAATGACTGGCTTGAAGTTTGAACTTTCAAACACACATTCTACAAATAAGTCTTGTACCATCTAGGAAAATCATTTTAAAAACAAAACTAAACTACTGACTGGCTGTTTCCGTTAGTAATTGTGGAGTATGCTCCGCGACTTGCTGGTTCTGTTGAAATGTCCTGAATTGTGTTGGGTGATTTGCATCGAAGTATCCTCTGGAACTCCCTTTTGAACATAGGATTTACCCCTGCATAAATGAAAGGGTTAACGGTGTTCGACAACGCCAAGCAAAAAGAACAAAGCAATTCCAGATTTCGTGGCACTTTCTCCACTATACTTAGCCGAGTTAAAATAGAAATGGTCCACAGAGGGGTAAAACATAGTACAAAAGCGAATATTATTATAAACAACGACTTGTTGATTCGAATCTCACGCGAACTAATTCTTGTAGTTGGTGGGTGTGTTTGATGAACATGGGCGATGCCCCTTTTGTGTTCTCCAATCTTTTTTATTACCTTTCCGTAGCTGATCAGGGTGATAGTCAGCGGTACAGTAAAAAACAAACCAACCATAATCGCAAGACGAATCACTCTGCCTAACCGGTTCAAATGTGAATTGAGACAGAGTACATAACCTGGACTGAACTGGACTTCTTGCGGGCCGATCAGGCGACTAATAACCACATACACGCTCATAAGCAGCCACACAGTCACGACCAAAATGCGAGACTTCTTCTCCGAAAACAACCGTTTATACTGTTGATTTGTCTTGCATATTTTTACGTATCTGTTCAACGCTGTCAAGCCTATAATTACAGGTGAAATGTACGTCACATATGTAACTATGAACGCATTTATCTTGCACAGTGCTTCCCCAAACGGCCATCGTCCAGAGATTAGAACTCCTGTTGACATTGGTAAGGCCAAACTAGCAGAAAGCAAATCTACGGCAGCTAAGGCTGCGATGTAAATGTTGGTTGTTGTGCGGAGCCTTGTATTCCTGTACACCGCTATACAGGTTAAAAGATTTCCTAGTAATGACAATATGTTAAGCAGTAGCATCAATCCAGCCTCCACAGAGATCAAAAGCAAACTTCGAGAGCTTAGCTCCTTTGCCATCTCCTCTTCACCAATAATGTTGACCATGATGGTGCAGTTGTTGTAGTGTGCGTCTGATGTCCTTAATAAGACATCAATAATTCGCAAACACGTGCTTTCGAGTAATGTGGTCCACGTGTGACTACACCCTAAGGCACAGCGAATATACTAGGTGCCTCAAACACGTTTATCAGGGAAGCTTTAAAAAACGTGTGTGAAAAACTCTCAAAACTGCTAAGCAGTGGTTTTGAAGTTTGCATATGCTAGCTTTCTCATATATGTCAATTTGTTAACACGTTGGCTTTGAAACTGTACAGTAACAGGCCTTTACCGTTTTTTATAAAAGAAAAGTTGACGCGCGTGTTTCTCTCCAGGCAGGGTAACTTTGAATAGCGAGAAAAACATTGCTTTCATTGTACTCTTGCTATAACACTTGGGGGATCAGTTATAACCCACAGGCCACATTTATTGATTATTCGATTAATTCAAAATATGAAATGACTTGTAGACACCTGCCAAAATATAATTTGCAGGTTGGTCGATAATCAACCTTCTTTGTGTCGAGTCCATTTGGCGCCGATTAAAATAGACAATTTTGAACAACTTTCTGTTCCCAAGAGCAGAAATACACAGCCGTTTTTTAGCACAATCGTTTCAATTTCTCGTTTCCCTTTTACGCTTTGGTTTTGAACTCCAGATGAAACTTGACGCTTGTTTGTTTCTGATTAGGCAAACTGCAGTTAAGATTAAGAGCGTATAAATAATTTAGTAGCGTTTTTGACAGCGCGTCTTAAAAAAAGCCAAGGTTACGCCCCTATCAGGTAAAAGATATTAAGAATTTTCCTGCCTACGATATCTGTACCTAGTTACTATATTACGCTAGATAATAATCACTAGGTATAAGTTTTCATTTGAACTCGAATGTGTTAACACACTGGCAATTAATACTATTTGGGCTTTTCACAAAAATCAAGTTTTAGAATTTCAACAAAGGCAAAAACACATCTACAAGCGTATAATGGAGGGGGAAGGGGGTGTGGTTGGAGTGTAGACTCCCACGCAAGTGTTTTATTGCTGGTCTTAACCGGGTTACGGCATTGAGAACTTGAGCAGCGTAGTGATAATTTTGCAACATAGCTCTTGCTACTTTCGTAAAAACTACAGCCAGAAAATTCCTGGGCTTTTGAATGGTTGTTATAACGACAGCGACCAAAGCTCACACTCACAACAAACAGTAACGCTGCATTTTTTCGCTTTGAAAAAGGGCGACTTAAAACAGTTCTAAAGTCTCAGCTGTTTCAGTTACCAAAAAGGTGCGCACCTGACGGACGGCAACGAGAACGTCGCTTTAAAAGTGAATTTGCGTTGTTTCAGTCTTTATAGCGATTATTCCGACCCACTTACTTTGTCTAATGTAGGCGAACCCTCCTGAAGCTGAATTTCAAGGGACCATATCCAGGCTCAGAAAGAGAAATAAAATTCGTCGTTTCTTGTTTACGTCCTCCATAAAACGCTAAATAAGGCCGGGCATTTTCACGTCATAGTCCGGTGCTAAAGCATTAAAGAAATGTACTGAAAAAGTGTGAAGCAGATGTGAAGTTGTTGTTTTGCTTATTAAACCTATTGTTTTTTATTGACGTTCTCGTTGCCTTTCGCGTCGTTAGATCTTAAAGGGACAGTGTTTCGATTATGCGCACGCGCGAGCGTCCTCTGGTTTTTTCTTCAAAAGACAATAGAACTGTCATATTGACTAGACAAGATTTCCTTCCAGACCGCACCGCCGAAGGAGATTTGTTGTTTACATTCTCAAGTAATATTTTAGACTTTCGAAGAAGTCTTTCGTCTTATTTAAAATTTGGCTCGCGGCACGAAGACTCATCGCGATTTTATCGCTAGCAGGGCCTCGCGAACCGAAAATCTCGTTCCGCTCGCTTTAAAAACAGCTTTTTTAATGTGAAACTCGTGTCAGAGGTCAATTGTTCCAACTCCAGTAATATTTGCCTGATTGGCTCGCGTTCTAGCCTCAAACGTTTGAAAGATATAAATAAAAATGCAATCTCAACGCTATGAATAATCGCAACTGTTAGTCAAAAATTATATTACGATTTCATTGCACTAGTTTTTCTAAACATGTAGCGCCTGTTTGTTTAATTTTGTCGGCCATAGGGAGTTAAAGTTTACTAAAGCGTCGTTGCAAAACATTCTACTTCAAGAAGCTTAAGACCCTGTTTACATGGAGTGGGGGACCCCGGTCTAGTGGGGTAGGTTTCTTTTGTTTTGTGTCCCCCAGAGCGTGAAAACAAAAGAAACCAACCCCACTAGACCGGGGTCCCTCACTCCATGTAAACAGGCCCTAATTCCACCGTACAAGATCTCCTCAGTCACATCAATGTCTCAATGGTTTCTTTCTTACAGTCTTTATTGTTGCTGTTTCATTTCTGCGCATTCCTTTCACAATTATCTGAGCTTGTATGGAAGCTGGCAGAAGAAAAAAGCCTTCAATCGGCATCAAAGCGCTTCCCATCTTTTGGTCCTCCGACCAACGGCAATAAAAGATTTAAACGCCAAAAAATCCCGAATTCGCCCACATCGAAACATAACGGGAACAATATATCATTGATCTGTAATCCTGAGAAGTTTTAGTTAGTATTGAACTCGGCCAAGCGCGATGCAAACGGATTTTTCAAGGTTCTCTTACTTTCCTCGCATCTTTTGATTTCGCGACATCCTGTCCGACAATCAAATTTTGGTGCATGCGCAGTAACGGGATACTGTTCCTTTAAAGTCCCTAAAGATCAGCTCAGATGACCGCTTTATAGAGATGTTCTAAAATTTCACATGCTAAACGAAACTAAAAACAAACTAGAATGTAAAAATTGCATGGATCGGAAAAATGCATGTTTTTAATGAATATAACTACAAAAAAACATCAAGTATAAACCAGCAGTTGCCGTTAACGCGAACAACTAGGCTAAAATTCATCACCTCTCCTCTAAGAAGCTCAAGAACTGCGAAATAGTCCTAATTAAGGGAGAATGATTTGCATTGGCTTGAGGTTGATTGAGAGGAAGGAGGAAGTACAAGTTTTGGGTTGGTTGCACTGTAAGCTGTCATGTAAAATGGGACTAAACGTGTGATATATGTGTTATTGACCAAGTGTGAGGGAGGCCATAGAAGGCTCTATCGTCTAGTTTCAGTGAAACCATGATATAACGAACCTCTATATAACGAAGTCCTCGGTATAACAAACGATTTTCTTTACCCCAGTAACAATAAAGCATATGAAAAAGGACCTCCATATAACGAAACCTCTTTATCGAGGTTCCACTGTTCATGAAAATGAAAAAAAGTTAATTAACAAGTCCAATATCCAGCTAACTTGACCGAACAATCTTGGTTAATAAAGGATTTATTACTTAGCCAAAACAGACCCAAAAAGGAGAACTTTTCCTTGATCAATCCAGAGCGGGCAAGATGGGGTCCTTTGTTAGCCTGTACAAAGACGTTTTTTTTTTTTCTTTTCGTTCTTTTCGAAAACATCGGCCAGCGCGCTAGGGCGAGCGCGAGAGCGAGCGTGAAGCGCGAGAACGAGCGCGGAGAGTGATAAAGAGAAATAACTAGTCCTTTGCCCTCTCGGGTAGCCAATCAGAAAGTAGGATTCCCTTCATCTTGCCCTCTTAGCTTGTTGGTTCTCTCCTTTGCCCCGAGACGGTTTTCTCCGGTACTCCGGTTTTCTCCCCTCTTCAAAAACTAACAGTTCCAAATTCCAATTCGACCAGAAATCAGGTAGACGAAGAACCACTAAACTAATGTACTACCGCTAAATCGTTATTCATTTATTTAATTATTTATATTTAGGTAAAAAAGTGTGGTTACTGAACGGGTCTCACCCATATACACACTGATATCTGGTCAACATGCATAGCTTTTATTCGTTCAATACAGTGACCCTCCACAGGATTTTAATGCTAAAGGTGAAAGCACGCTCACCACACGCTTTCACTTTAAAACAAAAGAATTTGTTTTAAAACGCTTTAGCACGCTTGAAATCTTGCCTCATTAGCAATTTCTTTTGTTTCAGAGGACAAAGGAGAGCTGTTCCGCTAATTAACTTCGCACCTTTCCGCTCTCATGCCGTCCCTTACTTTCTTCACTCTAATATTATGCCTATTAAAATGCTCTATTTTAAGCTTTCTTCGATGTTAATGTTTGATGTTTACAATAACACTGCCCCTTATAATATTTCACATCTCTTTATTCCAACTCAACAAATCCACTCTTACAGCACTCGCTCCTCCTCTTCTGGAAATTATTACATTAGCCACTCTAGACTAAATCAGAAAAATGATTCGTTTTCTATTATGGGAGCCAAAATTTGGAATAGTATACCTGAAAATTTACGAAATTCTTCAAAATCTCTCTTTAAGGAAAACGTTCATACAATTCTGTTGAAAATATTTGAAGTTCAGGATAGATATGCTGACCTAAACACGATAATCTCGGATTTTAAAAAATATTAGCCCCCGCTTATCTAAATAGCTGCCTCGATTTTCTTATCTCAATTTCTCTCGTGACTGACCTTTTTTATTATAAATATGGCACTTTTTCACTTCAACTATTCGTAATAAATCTTAAGCCGTCTACACACCACCTGCCTCGATTAGCCTTGCTATTTGCAGGTGGTGTGATATTTGTATATTTAATGTAAGAAATAAAGATGTTGTTGTTGTTGTTTGTTGTTGTTGTTGTTGTTGTTTGTTGTGGTTGTTGTTGTTGTTGTTGTTACACGCTTGAGACAATTAAGCGTGAACAAGTCGAACAAAAGAGCGTGTTAAAGTTTCCATACAAAGCTCCGTGCGAAAAAGCACAACACGCTTTCAGTGTGCGCAAAAGCACGAAAGTCGTGTTATGTATAAAGCTAATTAAATTTCCTCTACAAAAAGGAACCGTAAATGATTATGAACGGCACCCTTTTTGGTAACTATCGAGAAAGAAAAAGTTCTACCTCGGCGATCGCAGCGATAGTATCTGATTGAAAAAACGTTGTGGCTTGAAAAGTATAAACAGTGAAAGGTGGGACCTACTGGACTTATGGGTAGAACCATATTAGCTTTGCAAAATCAAAGTTCTTTCCAGAAATGTTTACTGACGAAGCTGTGGAAGGTTATCTTAACTTTCCTTAATTTAAAACACATTTGCAATTTTCTCAGAAACAGTGATCTTTCGGACTTAAGTCACTTTCTCGCCGATCGCAGCAATTGAAGCGATCAAATAGAAATCATCAAGCGTCAGGATCGCTAAATTGTATTTATTTTTAGCGATTGCAAGGATAGTATATCGTGCGAAGTGATCAAATGAAAACCAGCCTGCTTTTCAAGATGTACCAAAATTCCAAAACGGTTTCAATGTTGCTTGATTGATCCGGCCGGCAATAACACAAAAAGCGAAACCGGTATTTAAACAATGTGTGCAAACTGGACATGTGTTCTTCTTGAAATATTACATCGCGTATGCTTCAGTCTTATTGTCCAAATTCCTTAATCATCCTGTTGTCTTTCTTGTGGTTGCCGTCTGTTTTACAACCATCTAAACAAACCTTGTTTTGTACCTGGTACTAAATAATATTCCGTAGTATAGTTGAATACTTCTACACGTGTTGCGTTGGCTTTGTTTCGTTTAAATTGCGCTTTATAAAAGAACTGATTACTTCTCAGATATAAACGAGTGCAATAACAACCCTTGCAAGAACGGAGCTACCTGTGAAAATCTTCAGGGAAGTTATCGCTGCAAATGTAAACCAGGATTTACCAACAACAACTGTCAAACAGGTAATTGCTTTTTTACTTTATAAACAAGCAATGGTGAGGTAACAGGCTGCCCTCGCGATATTTTACCAAAAAACGTACGACAATGTCATTTGCTGGTATGGACTGAATTTAAAAAAGGCTAAAAAATTCCGGCCTTGAACTGTCAGAGGTATAGTATAACATAAAGAGAGCATGCACTAGGAACAGCCCTTGTGTATTGATCGAGCTCTACTTGTGTACATGAACAAAGGGCGGAGTTTGATGTCTCTCTCTGCGCGATTGCGCGTCAAGACCAGCCTGAGCGTCCCCACCAACTCTGAACTCTGTCGGAGGGCAGGTTATAGCTATCATTGTAAAGCTGGATATTCTGGAATCAATTGCGAAATTGGTGAGAAACGTTCCTCTTTAATCTAAGTTTGAACAAACCACGCATCAAAGAACACATCAGTTTACAAGCAACTTCTAACAGTCGACGTCATCGTGATAATCATAATCAGGGGCGTACTCAGCTTTTCCACTAGCTGTAGGCCTGCACTTTCCTAACCTTTTTAGCTCACTTCCCAAACGCATAATTTAATTATTACTAGAGGTAGAGTGATCAAACCAAAAATTTGTCGCCTCGGGCCTGCAGGTTTATCGGCTGGCTACGCCCCTGATAATCATAATTATAATCATCGTCATCATCATCATCATCATCAGTAATCTTTCATGCTGCCGCTTCGTTTATTCATGGCCCATACAACCTCAGTAGAATAGACATTGAATGCCAGTGGAAAAGCGAAAAGCAATATTCTTATCCTCAATAGATAGAAAGTAAATTGTAAGTACAAGCCGTCCCGCTTCTACTTTCTAACTATCCTTTGTTAATTATATGTCTCTTTTTATAAGCCTACTCTACATAAATCACGCTGAAGGAGGTTGCTCTGCACTTTTTGTTAGAACCTTGCTTCATAATTCAGCCCATTAAAAAATTGATAATAATTAATGTTCTGTTTGAACACAATTGTGTTTATAGATTATAAAAACGTTAGATGGTCAGTACTCAAGCCGTAAAAACCCGGTAGCTAAGTGTGCTTTAGCGGCTCGCAAGAGAGGTTACAGGATGTTTGCAATTCAAGATGGAGGATGGTGTGCATCTAGTGCGACTGCTGGGAAAACGTTTAACAAATATGGCAAGAGTGATGCGTGCCGACAACGAGAAGGTGGTGCTTGGGCAAACGATGTGTACATTCTCCAAGGTCAGTGAACGATATTTTAGGGTCCTTATGGACCTTTAACTTTCAAAAGTAGCCAGAGTCAAAATTCAACAATACTTCCCATTTTTATTTCGCTAAATGTTGAAAAGACAAATAGAACTGCACCATATACGAAAGAACTGTCAGAAAGTTTTCATTTGAATATAACACACAACAGGATTTAATTCAAAAGGTCAGACATCAAATATTAATGGAATAGGATAATGCACAAGTATTGCTCTTCAGGTTTCAATGTCCTTGTAAAAGTCATACGCTCATCAGAACCAGGCAAATACATGTATCTCTGTCAGTTTTAATTAGCCTATCAGTATTTCTTTCCATCAATAATTGAATACGGGTTGTTCTAGTCTATAGGAATCACAACATTTTGAGGTAAAAAGAACCATAAGAATAGCTATAAAATTTGCCCTGAAATACCCTGAAAATGTATTTTCTCGCGTTAAGAAATGCACGTTGCTTCAGTGCTTTGCATACGGATGTGTTGGTATTTGTCGCGTGAGTTATTTTGACTTTGTACGTGATTGTTTGTTATCAGGTATATAAGGCCGGTTCTTTACAGATTCAAGGTCACTTGATGGCATCTCTCGCTACCGTTCTGTAATATTCTTGTATTTGTTATCTTTTTTATTATATTTAATCTTTCAGAAAGGTTATTACCAGATTGTACATTATTGACATTATTGTTAGCTTCCGTCTTCGTTAGCTGTAGTTTGTAGTATGTTTATTCATGTATTTTGCCCGTGTTCTAGCTATCAATAAACGAGATGCCTATTCCTGATTCTTGTCTGCGTTTCATGGTTTCTAGAGTGAAAATGATTTGTTCTCGTTTCACTGCAGAGTGATTAGAGAACAAGGTGATTTGTTTTTTGATTAAATTTTATGATTTTTGAAAATTTGATTAGGGAAATAGTTTAATTTAGTTGGTACAGACGTGTTGACATTCTTTTCACAAGCATTTTTTTTACATTGTGTACAATGTGTATTCTCTTTACTCACAAGTTTACCATTGCCTTTACTCTGCAAGATAAAGTTAGCCACTCAGAGGAACAAATTCAACATAACCAGGACAAACAATTATTGTATAAAAATGAACTGCATGTAAAGAAATTCAATAAACGTGCATTTAATTTTACAAACTATTATTTTGTTTGTGATTTGTTTTCTTCTTTATTTTAAATAAACGATTATGCACAGACTATTCGGTGTGGTTTCCGCAGCAACATCTAGGACAAAAGGCTATTGTTTTGAGGAATTTGATCTGGTCTATAGACCATTTCTTGATTCCTTGACATGTACTGGAAAAGGAAAAAATTGCCACCATCGAATTAACTTACATACTGTTTAATATAATGATCCCAACCTTACCTTTATACTAAAGCAAATTGGAACTTAACTGGACCAAGATTGACCAACATTGATTTTCTCCTGACTACATTTTTAAAAGTGGTAGTAAGAGTTACGAAATTACCGACTAATAGCTGTCATTTCTCCTTTCACTAAAGTACCTGAAAGTCTGGCAAATGACCAACTTGCGTCCTACCTGGAGGAAGAATGCCTACTTTTTATTTTCGGCTTGATTTTACAAAGGAATATTTTACTTCTCATGCCATTCTAGAAACCCCTGGAGAATTTAAAATCAGTATTAAATAATTAAAAAACAGCATGTTTTAGATTTTTCAAAGGCTTTCGAAACAATCAACCACCATACTCTAATATACAGATTTAGCCATGCTAAAAGCGAAGCTCCCATTCATGCATTTTAAATTTACTTCAAGACAATGGACCTTAAACCATTACAAAGAAATCCACAAATCTATACTTAACTTTAGGGGAGAACCATATGACTGAAAAAGTAAACTTGTTCTACGATCAGTTGAAAGCTAAGAACTGGTCAGCGGAAAACTTCAAAAAGGCACATGACCTCTATGAGTTGGCACTTGGGCCCCGCCATAAGGTCATGTGAATGTTGTCAGTGGATACTCTGTTTTAAAGGCTGTCAATTGACAATAATATGGAAGTCTATTATCAAGTTGAACACAAGTTACAGTCTCCCACAATAGCTGGAAAGTTTGACATTTCACATTTGGTTTCCCTGTGAAGCGGACGGACGGACGTACGGTCACATGATTGCTAAAATTTCTCGGATGGATAGATAACCAAATTTTCTTAGGAATGAAATTTTTTTATGATCTTTTCTTTGGTTCAAATTTTCTTAGGGACTCGTATATCCGTAACGAGCTCTAAATCTTTTGTGCCTAAAAAATGCAGGACTTCTACCTTTCAGAAATCTTTTTTCATTAGAACCACTAGAATCTGGAACCTGCTTATTACTACACTTTGACCTAGATAATGTTACTTTTGAGAACTTTAATTAATCTGTTCTTTACAGTTATTACTGGCGGGCTATAGCAATAAACTATGACCCGGACTCTCCAAAGAGCTTCAAAACTATTCGGTTGAAGTGTAACACGTACAGCCAGGTTCGTAGACCAAGAAAATAGCTGCTGCATGTGATTTCAATTGCTACTTTTTATATTTTTTATTTTGGGTCCGCAGTAATTGGCTTTAGCTCATGCGGTGTCCCTGCCCAAATTATTTAATAATAACTTAAATAAGTTATTATTAGTGTCTACATGCTTACGTTCTTATTACTAGTATTTGCATATCTTCAGTATTTTTTTGTATTCTTCAGGGCAAAGCTAATAAAATGAATAAATAAAATGAAGAATTATGGAGATCGAGGAGGGTAGAAGACGAGGACCGAGACCAAGGCCGTCACGGCAGTCGTTATTAAATGCACGTTAATCGGCAAGTTTAGAAGATAAAGGGTCCGCAAATATTCCCCAAATAGCACATGTCGTCCTCCAGTTGTCTTCTTGCTGTTCTTTCTATGTTTTTAGCCAATAGTTCGCCTTAGGGACTGGTCAAAAAGTATGGGGGGGGGGGGCCGGAGCATTTGGAAAATGTGGTTGATAAAAAACACATGACCCACCCCCTCCCTTCGGCACAAAAATGACTGACCCACCCCTAAAGCAAGGTTGGAAATTGCATGACCCACCCCTTGTTAAAACATGGATCTTTGGTTTCCTCTAAGGCCATCCCCTTTTCTTTCTGCGTTTACCGTCGAATGCGTTTCCTGATATTGGGTCGGTCAGTCGGATTGAAAAGAAAAACCTAAAAAAAAAATCACAAGAAGTCTCGGAATAGTAGGCCCTGGTACCCCAGGACGACGTTAAAAGTTAACATTCACATATTTGGATTAACAAAATGTACAATATACTGTGAAAAATGTTCATGTTTTTGTTCCTGTTTTTCTCTATGCTGTTACTATGCTAATTTTTCAGATTAAAAGAATTATTTCAAGTGAAAAATGGTGTAACTACGTCGATTTTTTTTTTTTTGGAAATGCCAAAAATTTGGGTCGGTCGGACGACGGTAAGCGGAGAAAGAAAAAGAGGATGGCCTAACCTTGTTCTGTGCTTGACAAAATTTGTTGATACACTGCTACAACCAAAATCAAAATCACAGAAATCATACCTTTAACTGAAAAGACAAATGTGAAAAATCGAACATTTCTTGTTTCTAGGGAGGTTATGAGTCTTGACACAAATATACAGCAAAACGAGGGTATATTGAAATTGTCTGTCACAAAGCATATGAAAATTTTTACAAAGATAACCCATTCCTACACATTACTTGCGGGAAATTCTTAGATTAATCCTCAGAAAGAATTTCTTCCACTTCAATGGAAAGCACTACCCAGAAAACCATGGAACTGCAATGGGTACAAAGACAGCAGTTTTGATTCCTTTGCCAATATTTTCATGGCATATATTGAAACAACAACTCTAAGCAAAACTGCCTTTAGAACAACAGTTTGGAAATGCTACATACACGATATCTTTTCCCTATGGGACATGAGTAAACCAGACATCGAAGCCTTCATTGAACAAGCAAACTTACATCACCCAACTATTAAATTCACTGCCGAAAAATTTGACACTGAGATGCAGCGTTTTTAGACACGGTTGTATACAAAGGCACAAGATTCAAGAAAATATCTATCCTTGATGCAAAGACACATTTTAAACAAACGGAAACCTTCTTGCACACACATTTCACCCTGTGTCACCCTCCAAGTGTAAAAAAAGGATTTGTCAAAGGAGAAGCCTTGAGAATCCTACGAAAAAACTCCTCAGAAACAACCTTTGAGGAAAAATTTTAAAAAAAGGCTTGATGGACGGAGGCTACCCACAAACTTTGATAGAAGACCTACTATCAGAAATAAAATTCACAAAAACGAGTCTAAACTCCGAAAACAAAAGATACAAGGAGGAAAAAGAAATATTGCCATTTGTGACGCAATACCAACCCTCAGTGTCTACTATAAAGGAAGCTTGAATAATAAAAATGGAATCTTAGACAAAACCAACCATAACTTCAATAAATTTTTAAGGAACCACCAATCATTTCCTTACAAAAAAGGAAAATCATTAAAGGACATGCTCGGTAGAGCCAAAAAAAAAAAAGAATAACAAAGGGTTTCACGCCCGTATAGATGCATGTGCGGCCTGTCACCCGTTGCATTTTCTCGCACAACAGGTTTGTGAGTATTTTAGCAATAATTCCAGCTGGCTGTGTTTTGTATAACAAGTGTGGTCAACTGTCTCGTTAGTAGTTGGTGCCTATCTATGTAATAAAATAGGGTGACCCACCCCCTAATGGTAGCTGAAAATTGCACGACCCACCCCTTGCACAAGGCTCAAAACCTCATGACCCACCCCCTCTCTGCTCCGGCCCACCCCCGCCTATACTTTTTGACCAGTCCCTTACTATTTCTTTCTGGTGAAACGAGTAAAATGTTATGCCCAGGTTCCCCCTTTCCAAAATAACACAACCTCGTCCGCAAAAGTCTTGTCGGTTAACGGTTCAATAACCTGCAATTTTGCTGCACTTTTGACGTTATCAGTTCAATATGGCAAAATTTATTCACATTTGGTCAATAGTAGCTGGGTATGATGAATTGTGCGTGTGATTTTCGCCAATCAGAAACGGGAAGATATTTAAAATGAATAATAATAATTATAATTTTTATTGGTAATTTTAGTCTAAGAGGACCCTCCTGTAAATCACTGGTTTAAGTGAAGCTGTCATCCTCAATAAAGATAAAGATTATCATCATACTAGCTGTTGAAAAATTGTACTGATATGTACATGCTGTTGCCAAGGGAGCTCTGTGCTGCTGCCATATGCTGCTGAAAGCAACCATCTATAAATCGTTGCTTCAATTTAACCGTAGTAAGTAGAGGAGACTGGTTCATTTTGAAAGCCGTCAAACCTCAAAGATGAAAACAACGGTGTGGCTGTTTATTTCGGGAAGCCCCCCGACCGTGAACCATCCTTTGTTTTCTCTCATCGTGACTGAATATATTAATGCGATGTTTCTATTGGTCAGGAAGTTCCAAATGATAGCAATGCTATTGAACGTTGTGCACGGTTGAGGTCCAAAGAAGCTAAAAAAAATATATAACAAAGGAGTCTGTCGGGCTTCATGACCATTCTAGTTTATTATTATAAGCTGTGACTTAACAGACCTAGTAAAACTTTGCCTTCTTCGTGCAGATTTTGTATTTTCATATTTTAATGAAAAACAAAGCAAATTAAACCAGACCTTGTTGGTTATAGGGCAAATAATATTTCTTTTGAAATATGTTAATGCTAATCAGGCTCACTAATAACTTTGTTTGCATTTATACCGCAGACAAATAAAACAATGTTTTTTCTAGGCAATGTTAAAATTTTGATCACTTTGGGCATTTGACTAGTAACCCTTTTATTTTCAGTTCTTTGACGCGAAAGAACTAATCACAGTTAGCTCATAACAAGTCTTTATGTTTCCAAGAAACTGAAGCCTAGGGACAAGCATACTCGGCTTCCAGAATGATTCAAATAGTTTAACACCGTACTAACATACAAAGGATTACGCTTAATGAACCCTCAGTTTTTACTTCGTTGTGTTTTATAATGGCCTTAAACCTAATCTTGGTCTCGCCTGATGAATACGAGATGTAACGAGATGTAACGTTCGTTGATCGTGGTTTCAACGGTTACAAAAGTCTGTTAGTTTCCGTGTATCCAACGATAAGAAATAATATAAGGTTTATCGATCCATTTATGTATAGGAAAACTATTTTTTGATTAGATTATAAATGAAACTAATTTGTAGTGTATCCTGAGTAGGCACTGTTGCTATTAACCTTAGCTCCTCTAACTATAGTTACGTACAATTGAACGTTCTGTTTGGTTCTTAAAGTTTCAGAAACAGCATAATATTTTATACAACAATTACTTTGCATTCGCCAACAAACCCAGAAAGGATGGCTATGTTTCCATCCTTGGTCACTGCAATCTTTGGAGGAACACATTCTCTCTGCTCTTCTCTGCTAAGCTGTTCTGCACCTTGGAAAATGCTGCGCTCACAGTCGCGATGATCATTGAATATTGATACCTTCACACGAAATTCGGGTTGCAGGTTAGAGATGACGACATGATTGCTCTCAGAATGAAACGCAATTGCTTCAGCAAGAGCATCGTCTGCATAGTCGAAGTCAAGTTCTTTCTGGTGGTTTCCCTCCACATCGAACACAGTCACGCGACCATTTCTGTTTAATACAAGACAATGTCCACCATGAGTGACAGTAATGTCCTTTGGTTCCTCTAGAATGTCTTGTCCGAAGATCTTGACCGACTTTCCATTACTAGTCTTGTACTTTTGAACTGCAAAACGTTTAGTATCCTTTTCCTCTACTAACACAAGAAGCTCACCTCTCTGATTTATAACCATTGAACTGTGAACACCCTCCTTTAATGGAAATTTGTTCAACAGTTGACCATCCTTGTCGAACAAGAAAACTTTGAAGTGAAACTTGTCTATCATTATCAGTACAAATATATTGTCTTCATGGTCAGTTGCCACTCCACAAATATCTTCATCAGCTAGATAACTGGGAAGAGCGAAAAAAGACTGCATACACTCTCCACTTTCATCGAAGACCTTAATAATGTGATCGCCATTGTCCGCTACAATGATTTGTCCCTGATTGTTGCTGGTGATGTCTCGTGGTGAAATGAGCTTTGTTTTTTCACTTCCAAATAACCGCGCTACGGAAAATACAGTAACGCTTAGCAATAAAGTTTCTTTCTTCTTTTGATGGTGCCACCTTGAAAGCGCTTCAGTCACTCGTACATCTCTCAGTGGATCAATTCGATGGACAACTTTGCCGCCGTCCTTGGCAATGATTGGAGGAAAATCCCAGGGAACTTTGTTCTTGTAAGCAAGTTGAAAAACTTCGAAAACCATGCGATTCAAGTGGCAGACACCCGCAAAAATTCGAATGTTTTCTTCATGGTTAAAAGGGGATTTTTTCCCAGTAGTTGTTACTGCTAAGCGAAATATATCCTGAACATCTGACAGCGAATTTAACTCTCTCAGAAATGATCTGCATGAGAGCAATGCAATTGAGGCATCTTCCATATTTTCCAGTATTTTTGCCATGATACGAATAGACATACTCTGGATACGTTCAGAAGTTCTTAGCTCTGCATTGCTGAAAGCCTCTGCTGCCTTGTACGCGGCATCTGCGAAAGGCTTTTTCGCCTTTTCAAATATACTCCTCTCTCTTTCATTTAAGTCGGTCAATTCAAGACGCTCATAATTATTAGTTACAGCATTCAAGAAATCTGCTTTTGTGTTGAGCGTTGACGGCGCACCAATGCATTCAGCTTCAAGCGTTGCTTCTTCCGCAATCAGCTCTTTTCCAGTTCGTCTTTTAATGTTGTCTAATACTTCGTTTAAAATTGCCAGGCCTTCCTTGTAAAAGGATATACTTGCATGCAGGTCTTTTCGTGCTTGGCTGTCAAGTTTTAAATTGATCGAATCTACTTCAGTCAAGATTATCTCACGAAATTTTCCGTCTAGTAGTTTACTATCTTGGAGTGTTTTCAGTATCTCTTGTTTCTTTATCTTCCAGACTAAATATGCACCACATTTAAAGGCAAACAATGCAAAAGACACCAGCTCCATGCTTTGCTGTTTAAACCTTCAAGTTCAATTTAGTATCCAGGTTATTTGGTACTGTAAAACGACGCTTTAAGAGGATCTCTAGAGGCCAAATGGATCGAAATCTGTCTTGCTGGGTGAAACTGGAATGCCACTGGGAGTCACGGTCCCTGCGAATGTTTACCAAAGAATGATTCAACTTCGACGCCTGCATGTGAACAGAGCGTGATTGAAAATAATATCATCTTGCAACTAATAACCGAAGCAACGTTTAAGCCTATCACAAAACCTAGTAAAATACATATGAATATTTATACAACGGAATCATACTGAGTGCTCGTTTCGGATCTGTGCCCAAAAAGAAGGACTGTGTTGATTGTTGACCTAGTAGGCCGTGATAGAATGATGTTTATTCATGTAGGTAAGATATTATGGTCCAAGGTCCGCTGTGTTTATGAACCAGCATAAGAAGCCCATGACTCTGTTTTTTTTTTTGTAAGGAAAAGGAAAGCATTAGTTCTAGATGGTAAGGGCTAATTAAAAACAAATTTCGGTCTGAAGGGTTCATTAAAGCGCCACTGGTTCAAAATCTGCGTATAAGATAGTTAGCGTCCTCTGCCCCGTGGGCAAAATAACTTTGACATGAGTATAGTTCTGCTTCATGACTTTGAATAAAACTGTCGCTTATTACTTATGAAAATCTGACCATTTGTTGATAGTGTTGCTATAAATAAATGGTTCTGATTGAGACAATTTTTCTTTGACCTGCATAGCAACTTTGTTTATTTATTAATGAGGGAACGTATGAAGTGCACCGAGGAAAATGTTTACTCGTTCCAAACTCACAGAAAATATCAAAAATAGGTTTTCTGCTTGCATTTTTTCCATTTAAGCTCTTCTTACTCTGCAGACAGAGTTACCGGATCGTGGTTAGGGACTAGCTTTGCCCGGATTATAATTGAGCAATCGCTAAGTAATTGAAAACTCTTGCCAATGCAGTCTGATTGGTTAATATCGTTGCTATAAATAAATGAGTCAATGCACTGTCTTGATTGAAGCGATGGGTGTGTATTACGGCACGTATACAATTTTTTCAAGGACGTAAATTTCTGAAGTTTTGGAACTCAACTGAGCTGGTATAATGGATCCGCGTTCAGCCTTATTTGATTTTTCAGTCGCATTGCTTGTCGATAAAGACCGGGTGGAAGGTAGGCAGTTGAAAGAAAGCGATATCCGGCAGGAAATCGACTATGTTAAATTACAGTTGAACGGACTTGTGAGATCATATCTATTATCAAGCATCACCTATTACAGCGAAGGAGTGCTCCATCTTTTCAAATTGAAAAGCAGCTCCAATAAAGACGAAATGGAAAATGCTGCCTATGCAAGGTCATTAACAAATCCCATGACTAACGTAAGTCAGACTTTGAAAGACTTGAGATTGTCCAATTTAGACGAGGGAGAGAAAAGAGCCTTGAAATCTGCAAAGAAAGCTTTCGAAAATGCCCGTAAAAAGGCTATCGATGCGTTCAACAATGAGACTCTTCCCATTTTTGATCGCATCAAAGCAATGGCTGTTCGTGTTGCAGCGACAATGCTGGCGAATATAGAGCATCCCGAAGATGCCTTAATCGTGTGTTTAAAGTGCCTTGAAGAGCTTCATAGTGTTAAGGAAATACAAGAAAACTTTAGTCTAGAAATCCGCAGAAGAAAAATGAGGCATGGTGTTTACAAGGACCATCGTAGACAGATGATCTCATCTGTCTGTCGAATAAATCATTTTGTTCGCAGTGCTGCAGCAATTATTGCAAAGGAAGGAGAGTTGTTGACTTGGCCACAGATTGAAATAGAAGGGGGGAAAGTGGATCCCTTGCATGACCACCGACTTGCTGAAGCTTTGAGAAAACAAAAGATGCCGCATTATGAAATAACTCCATCAGCTCTAGGCGAAGAAGGTGAAAGCATGAAGCCAAAAATACCACAAGCCATCGTTGTGAATTCACAGGATCACTGTATTGTTGCAGAGGAGTGGGATAACAGCGTTAGCATATTTGAAATTAGCCCAGACCGCCTTCTACGTCAAATTTCGATTGGCGAGGAAAGCAGTGTTGTGGATGTTGCTATTGGTGGCCAAGACGATGTTTATGTGTTGCTCGAACTCAACGCGAAAACTGAACGTGCACGCTTCAAGATTTTCGTATTTGATGAAGAAGGCAACAAAAAGAAGGATTTTTTATTGAGAGAAAAAACAGAAGACGTTTCAAAAATGGCATTGAACAATAACAAGATCTTTGTATTAACAAAGGTTTTTGAGATCCCTGGGGGCGCAGTGGATGTTTATGATTGTGACGGTCAATTTTCCGGGTTAAGGATTGGAGAAGAAACATTGAACTGTCCTCAAGACATCTGCTCTACAAACGACGGCCGAGTTGTTGTTTTGGATAGGGATGATCAATGCGTAATGTCAGCTCAGATGTTTAATACCATAAACGGACAGCACATTGACAATGATCTCCTGGAGTCAGTAGAGAAAGAAGAAAAAACCATAAAAAAGTTAAGATCTTCCATAGCGTGCCATCAAGTGAGTAATTATGTTGTTATAGCTTTTCCTAGTGAAACTGACCAAGAACCAGTGCGTATTCTGAAGTACGACATGAGCGATGGCACCCTGCTTCCCAGCGTCCATCTTCCAATGAACGGCCAGGTCTCTACTCGAGGGGTTGCAATTACTTCACAAGGACGTATTGCCGTAGGTTTACTCGACAAAGACGGAGGAGATAGTAAGGTACTCCTCGTATAATCTTGAATAGAAGTCAGAACCTTGAAAAAAAATAAAGACAGTTCAGAACTTGACTGCATGTCAGCAGTCATTGTATCTTTATGTTATGGAAATGTTTTTGCTGCTGAAATTGCCTTTTTTAGGTAAACAAGGAAAGATTATTTTAGCGTTCATAACGAGTAATTTCGAGAACATATGGTCAATATGAATCGATATTGAGCTTAGTTAAGCTTGTAGAGCCAGCCGGATGAAACGCTTGATGTTTGTGTGGGGCCGACGCACAGTCTGAAAGTATTTCGTACATTGTCTTAGTGGCATGACCATTGTAAACAGTTTCCAAGGAGTGTAGCTAAATGTCGTGGATCGTGGGTAGTGGGTAGAGGTCGTGGGTCGTGGGTGTGGGTAAATGTCGTGGGTGAAAAAAGGGTAGAGTTTAAAATGATAAAGTAATATAAAGTAATTGAAAAACAAAATAACTGGAAAAAGGTTGTAAAATATTTATGAAACGAAAATCTGCGACTATTGCCCTTTTCACGGCTTCCTCATTGTCCTCTTCCTGACTTTTCCTTAGCCACGTGGGACTTGGGTCCCCTTTCACAACATCACTGTATAAAACACATATTGCCGATGAAGATTTGTCCACACCTGAGCGATCGCCGCGAAAATGAACGAAACAGGCGTAAAATATGTCGAAACGGGCAACTCGCAGAATGAAAATATAGCTGCTTACTCTTATTAATCTTTATTGGATCTCCAATTCCAGTGATCAACGGGGACTTTTTAACACGATGGAATGTGATCACCGTGGGAAAGGGGAGGGGAAGTGAGGGGAAAAAAGGACAATTTCATATTTTTATATAGAAAGTCTTTCTTAAAGAAGTTTTAAGTCTCTTACATTACAAAGACAGTACGTTCATGCCAACCTTTTAAGTTAAGGCTAGACTGTATGTGATTGTTTTTTTCTTTGCCGTACGGAAATATAATTTTCTTGATTCCTTTTTGTTTTGTTTTGTGCACAAAATCGTTGCTTTAAGGATTCTGAATATCACTCCTTAAACTGAAAGGACGTGTCATTCACAAATGTTGACATCTTTGAGAAAAAGCAGTTCAGTCTCCAGTTTTCTTTAGCCTGCTTCAGTTTTTCATTGTTTATAGAGTTTCTTTTATTTTTCGCCTAAATGCCTTTTTAGTGGCCGTTTGTGCTAAAGGATCGCTTATTTGCTTTGCTGACCGCGGGGAAGGGGAATAGGACTGGTATGTACGCAGAGATTTTCGTTTCATGAATTTTACAACTTTTAACTATTTAATTTTTTAATTTTTAATTGTTTCGGAAAACTTTTTTTTTTACCACACCCACAACCCACGATCTCTACCCACTATTCCGAGTATATGAAAAAATTTCTTTAAACCAGTTGTAAAGAATAAATATGGTCTATAGGCCCACTGGCAATTCCTTTAAAGAAATATGAAGGACAAAACGTTGATGAGACACTATTGTAACTATGCAAGGTGAATTTACTTAGGCCGGGCGCTAGCATCTTAGGAGAAAACGACTGAAACGATTAGTGCCGAAGGGATTTGTTTCCCCCGCAGGGATTTCACCCTGAAGGCGAAATCCCGAGGAGGGACTCTAGTAAATCGCGCGTATATTAAGGAGAGTACTTACAGTTGAAATATACAGTCATACAGTCAATATAGAAAAAATCTCGATTTGCTTGAATAGGGGCCGCGAGGAATCGGTAGGTTATGCGCCCGCAAGTACGAAATGGTTAGGATGACGTAAACACAGAAAATCCAGAAGGGACCGCTCAGGTAGATTTTGTGACATTTAATGTGCAGTCATACTTCGATGCTCTTTTGCGTTACCCACTGACATTCTGTGGAGCAGTTGTTTTGAAAGTTATAGACCAAAAGACACTCGCTAAGCGCAGATGAGGTTATAAGGTGCGTTTAACTGTGTATATATAAACACTTGGAGAGTTTGTCAGACCCGAGTTCACAAATCTTTGATTTATATTGGAAACCTTGCCAGACACTCTTTCTCTCTCTTTGACCGGAATAAGACTCGGCCCCAAACTAGCAAGACGAGTGAAGAACGGCTAGCTTCTAACTAGCAGAACGATGGACGATTACAGAAATTCTCCGACAATCAAATTCTGCGCTGACTTATTCCCTGCTCACGATGTCCTCCCGTTATAAAGTTTCAAATAAGATGTGAATCGATCAAACTTCCTTTTAATTTGTAAGGCTTACTTTCCGGCAAATAAAATGAACTGAATGTAAAAAGTGAAAGAGAAATAGCGAAAAATTCAATTTCTTATGGTTTAGAATAAACTATTCTCGAAACTGAGAATGTTTTGATCAAAGCTGTGTAAATCGAACTGAAACTGTGCATGCAACCTTGCGTTTCCTGTATTTATCTCACCTATTGTATGGAATGTGTGTGAAAATCTTCATTATGAATCGGTATATTTCAAAGAGCTACACAACGAGTAAGAATACTATTGACCGACAATATACAGAACGGGGGCAGCTGTAGTGTCAGCTATTACTATAGTTATACGTGAAAACGAAGTTTTAGTTGCAGGATCTGTGACCGTGAAAATTTCTGAAAATGGATGGAAACACAATGTTGCTTGCCCGGGGGGTGCTCCCTATGATGGCCTATACGGGAAAGCTTTGGCCGAAAGGGGTACCTTTTTCAGGCTTCAGTGGTATATGAAAGGCTAGGGATTTCACTAATTGAAGTACTTAAAAGGGTAGGGAAATCTGTCATTTGGGTCCGTGAAAGGGCCTAAAACGGCTAACATAAGAATTTTATCTGTTAATAAATTCGAGAAAACATTCTATTTTTGTGATTGACTCCTATTTAAAAGACAGTGCGTTCACAGTTGTTAAAAGGGATGCAAAGTTCTAAACAAGGCATGTGAAAGAGGTATCATTTGTCAATAGAAGGTATACGAAAGCGGCTACCTCATTCACGAAAAATGGTATATAAATTGATTAAAAGGGTAAGGGGTTGGACCTCGGGGCAGAGCCTCCCCGTATCAACATTTGTTGAGTATTCCCCTCCCGGGGGGTGGGGGGCGGGGTGCAAGCTTTCCAGCATATTCTTTATTTTTAGCCGGAGTAGTTAGATCCGTATCTCGGTTGCTTGAAAGATTCGTTTCAAATAAAATAGATCTATGCTGCCTAGAATTAACTTTGAAAACCTTAAGTTCTTTCATCGTGTAACTTTCAACTATAATAACTTTGTACTCTTCATTTACATATACCTTTTTTTCTCAGACGACTACTTATAAGTTCCCAATAGGTCTTTACATTTTGTGACTTCAAAAATGATAACTCACAGCTTTTCACAATAGGTAAATAGCAGGAGCCATAATCGGGGTAGACCTTGAGGATAACCTCTTTGATGACAATAACTCTGATTCATCAGCTTAAATAAACAGCGTCTTCCGGTAGAATTTCACGCGAAAATATATTAAATGCAGTAACTTTCCTTATCTTTGGCAGCGTGGAGAAGTGGTCAAGCAGGTGATCTATCGTGCAGCCGTGGTCCAGGCTCGACTCTCCGCTTAACCATTAAGGCCTCGCGAGGTTTTTCTAGCCTGTGTACAGACGTCCCGCCTCCCTCAGAAAAAAATCGGGAGAAGAGACGTCTGTGAATCTCCGTCGTTAATCGTGTTCCGGTATACATTTGCATAAATTATTTTTTGTCGTTGTTTCATCTGAAAGTTGAAAAGGTGTTGACAGACCAACACGACTGGGAACTCTTTTATGTCGTGTTTACATTTGTGCATTTACCAAGGTAAAAATTTAGTAAGGTCAAGTTACTTAACCTTGGTACATTCGTCCAGTGTTTACACTAGCTCAAATAACTCAAGTTGATCTGTCAACACTCCTGCTATCTGCATTATCTACGTCATGAAATCGAACTGGCGGGAAATTCTAAAACCATGCTCGCTTCAAGAAGTAAAGTGGTGGCTTTCGTGACCATTGCTTTTAATTCTTAATTCAAGAGCCGCAAACAGAAACGTCAAGATTTCGTAAGATGTTGATGTTACAACACCTCAAGAGGTCGAGACGAAAACGGATGGTTTTACTCCAAATTGCTTTAAAAAATACCAGACGAGCTAGACGTGTGTGGGCATGGCCGTAAATAATACTGAAAATGAAAAATACAATGCCTTCTTTTACCTGACGGATTGTTCGCCGTACGAAGATCGATCCAATCGTTCCCTGACTTCTCTGTTATCTGCCATGATAGAAACGTGACAATCGCACGATCTGCTCACCGCGGGATGTGACATATTACACCGCTACAAGCGGATATATCTGTCATCTTTACCTTGGTTACCAACTGTAACCATGCCTGATCACAGGGTAATTGCAACTTTTACCTTGGTCAAATTTCTTTTGTCTTTTGGGGCATTTACCGAAGTATTAGTTAGCGTTTACACACGGAAAATGTTTACCTGGGTAAGTAAACTCTCGTACCTCAGTAAACCGTTCAAGTCTAAACACGGCATTAGAGCACGTACGCAGTTATTCTCTCGGATGTTCTCAACATTTATTGCTAAGATAGGCTCTAACTAGAATATCTAGCTAAAATGTCATTTAAAACGAGTATTTCATGCTTTTGAAGTTTTTTTTTTTTAAATTTTTTTTAGCTCATAAAGTCTGTCTGTTACTGTACATCGATTTCCTGTGGTTTTTGGTTTGACAGAATTTTGATCTCGGAAGCACTGTTTACATTTCCAGTCAAGCGTTTTATGCAGGAGTTCATCCATTCGATGATTTTGAGTAGGTTTCATGTAAAGGATCGTTCACTTCTCTTCAGCAAGAAACTACAATAGCCTTACTTTTAATTTGTCTAATTCTATGAGTCATGACTGGCACATGCAGGCCAAAAAATAGCCCTGGCGTATTTACACAGGCTAGCCGAACATCTTCACGCAATGTCAAAACTAAAATCCAGATATAAGATCTCTGATTAAGCATTGATTTCTGTACGTCCA